AAGAATCAGTTGATAAAGTATAACTGATAACAGGGGGTTCATCATAATCAATTGATGGATTTTCGAGCACAAAATTGATTATGTTAAAGCCAAGATTTTTATCTTCATCTCTACTTATTTAACTGTAGTCAATTCTGTTTAAATCCACTGTGAAGTAAACTTTATCTAAATAATCTTCTTCTGGGTCAATAATGTCACGATTTTCCCAAACAGTTTGGGCACGAGAGAAACAATCAGGTGGATGAGTCGAGCCTTTTTTGTATACAATCTTGATATTGTACATTGAAAGTATTATTGACCATCGTCTCAAACGAGCATTTTTGAAGTTTACTTTAGTAATTGTGCAGAGAGCATGATGATCAGTTTCAACAACAAATTGTTCACCTTCAAGATAATGTTTGTATTTCTCTATTCCAACGAGAACGGCAAATAATTCTTTCTCTGAAACAGAATAATTTTGTTGGTGTTTTTGCAATTTTTGTGAAAAGATAGATATTGGAAGCCAATCCTTAACTTTTTCAATAGGATTTTCTTTAGAATAATTTGGAGATTTTGGATCTTCTTGTAACAAAATTCCACCAACAGCAATATCTGAAGCATCAACTGAAATTTTCCTTCTCAAGTCAGGATTGAAGTGAACTAACATTGTAGTTGTTATCAAAGCTTCTTTTAAAGTATCAAGAGTTTTCTTGTCTTCATTCATCATTTTAAATTTTCTTTCTCGAGAAATCAATCGGTAAAGAGGAGCAGCAAGTTTTGAGTAGTTGGGAATGTATCGCGAAAAATAGTTATAACAACCAAGAAGTGATTGTAATTGTTTAACATTTTTCGGATAAGGAAGACGTTTGACCGCTTCCACTTTTTTCGGGTCGGGTTTTATACCTTCGCCATTTACAACATGTCCAAGCAATAGAATTTCTGAATATCCGAATTTACATTTTTCGAGTTTTACCTTTAGGTTGAACTTCTCGAAACGATTGAGGACATTTTCAGTCATACTCATCAATTCATCCCAAGTACGTCCAATCACTGGTACGTCATCAAAGTAGCCGAGACACTTAGTGTATTGTAAGCCATCCAAGACTTTGTTGATTAAATTTTGAAATATAAACGGAGCACCAGATAATCCCATAGGAAGACGTTTATATTGATATTTTCCATCAGGAGTTACAAAAACTGTTTTTTCTCTTTCACTTTGAGGTAATGCAATTTGATGATAACATTGACACAAGTCAAACATGTTAAAATATTTACCTCCTCGGACTGTTTCCAAACAATCATCAATTCTTGGCATCGGAAATGAGGGAACTTTTGTTAAACGATTCAGAAGACGAAAATCGGTAACTAAACGGAATGTTCCATTAGGTCGAGGCACAAGAAGAGCAGGTGATCCACCTTCAGCATTGGATTCTTCTATTATATCAGCGGCCAAAAGATCATCAATGGTTCGCTTATAAGCTAATCGTCGCTCATTATTACATGGATAAGGATTTTGATAAGGAATAACGTTATCACCGATATCGATCTCCACTGGACAAATATCATTATCAACGAAACCAAGATCTTTTTTGTCTTTGCTAAAAACTTTCTCGTATTTAAGAAACAATCGAACGAGATCGTCGCTTTTATCTTGAGATAAATTAGGATTAATTTGCTGTTTTAGCTTTTCAACAAAACTTTTATCTTCATTTGATGAAATTTTGGTTTCAGATTGTGACAATAAGTTAACCTTTGATGAGAATTTGGTTTCTAAGGTTAAATCGTGTTCATTTTTGAAAGTATTTGGTTCAGTTAAACCAAGAAGATTAGCATGAATCGGAAGATGATGAGAGAAGTTGTCAATTGTGTAATCGTTTTCTGAACATTTGAACTTATTGAATAATGAATCCGTTTCTTTAATAGTAAGAAAGCGAAACTTAAATTCAGGATTGAGGAGTTTACCATTAGGTGTTTCTCTGGCGAATACTTTAGTATAACTTCCATCAGAGTTAACTTGAATATAAAAAAGTTGAATGAAATTGTTACCAAGTAAGAAAATCGGATCAAACTCTTTAACAACAGTTACTTTGAGTAAACGAGTACCCTGAATTTCTGGATGAAAAATTGCTGCATAAGCGAATCCAACAGAATTCTTAGTTCCAGAAATTCCGAAAATTGGAATATTATTTCGAACAATATTTACGTTACATTGAATTGCCAATTGATAATCAATTACCGATGAAGTCGCTCCGGTGTCAACCAAAACACGAGTTTTCATAACTGGTTCCTTGATTGGAGTTTCTATTGTCAAAGTACAAAGTGACATACATTCAAATAAAGGATCACCTTTGTTGGTAATTATTGGTGGCTGTTGATGATCACTTAGAGTATATGAAATTTCATGTTTCATAACTGAAGCGGGAGCAGTAGAAGTTGATGATGTCGAGAGATATTCGATTGAAGGTTCACAAAGACTATTAATTGTTTGCGAATTTTTCTGAGTACTGGTTGTTGTTTTAGCTTTTTGACGAGAGTCATCTCGCTTTCGTCTTTCAGGACAATCAGGAGCAACATGATCAAGTTGGTTGCAAATATGACAGGTTAATCCTTTATGAGCAGGATTAGGAAATGGACGAATGTAAGGTTTTTGGAAGTTACCTTTAGGATGATTAGTTTTATCTCTAGATTGATGTCGAGGTGGATGAGTTTTTGTTACTTGTTTATCGATTTTTACTTTTCTCTTTTGATCTTCTTTCTCATAATAATGTCGATAGAGACAATTAATAATTTTCTGTTCATCATTATTATGACCAGATCGATAAATTTCATTTTGAATATTTTCAGGTAAATGCGAAAGTAAATCGAAGAGAAAACCTTTATCTGTTACAGTATCTTTAACTTTCTCCATTAAATCTCGAAGTTTATCGATAAACATTTGTGGTGGTTCAGAAAAATCGTAAATGTAATTTCTCAATTGATAAGCGGCTTTAGCAGTAAATGTTGGCATACTCAACTTTTCTTTGAGAGCGTTAACATAATCATGGTAATCAGTGATCGAAGGGTCAACACGATTTGCTAAATGTAACAATTCATGAGCTAAACCTTTTTTGAAACAGCGAAGACGAGTTGAGTTGTCACACTCTTCTAATGATAACTTATTCACAGTTTTTCTTATCCATGAACCCATATCTTCACCTTTGTAAAACTCAGTTACCTTAGGGTCTTTACGATTTGAAGCAACTAAAGTTTTAACAAGAGTTTCAAATTTATCAGTAACTTGAACATTACCTTGGACTTGAGTTAAATTTTCCATGGCATCATGAGATTGAGCCAGTGAATGAGTAGGAGAACCAGGTCTTGAGACAGAATGAGTTTGATTAACCCAATCAGCAGAAAGTTGAAGTAACTTATTGATTGTACCATAAGGTAAATTACACGACCTTAACTCTTCCTCAGGAACGTTAAAAATTGTTTCCTCGTCACGTCCAATACGAACTAGAATTAGTTGTAATTCAGATTCCAAGATTTTTGCATTACGGAGATTAGTTAGCCAAAGTGGAGGAACTGTTTCTTGAACCTCTTCAACAGTAAGATTATCAATTTCCTCATTGGTTAATTGTTCACCGAGTAACAAATAATTGGTTCTAATGATTTCATAAACTCGTCGCTTAAGTATAGCGTTAGTTGGAATATCATTAATAAAATTGTTCAGTAACTCTCTGAGCCCTTGATTATCTAAAGAGGAAATTGTTGTCATGTTGGAATTAATTACCAATGGTAAAGATAATTCAGAAGTACCAGGAGTCTCTTGAGAGATAACTGTATCACTGTTGACGTTGGGTGTAGACCGAATAGGAATTGAGATTCTATTCTGATGTTGACGGGTTATAATCGGAGGAGAATTGTACTCGCGATTTCTTGTTCTTACCATTAGGTAAAAAAGTTGAATTTATTAACTTGTCTTATAAAGACCACTTTTCACTTTAAACAACTGAGTGAATCCTGCCTGGGTCGCCAAGTGAAGGGATTTTTCTCAAGGAAAAAAGTAAAGTTAAGACACAAGTCACTATTACTTTGATAATATCACCTTAAGGTTTTTTATCCAGCAATTAAAACAGAGTCACAATTGTTGAAAGTATCAATTTACTTTTAATTCTGGCCTCTCTTTAGAGATGATAAACAATATCAATAGAGACAAAAACCAGATAAGAATAACTTAATGGTAATTTTAAGTTAGATAGTAACAACGGTTACACTGACCTTTCACAAGATGCTTACCTGCCCTTCACACTTACAAGTAATAACAGTTCGTATACAGAATTCACTTCAATTATCTTAAGATGTAAACTCGGTTAAATAAGACTTTATTAAAATAGAAAGAAAATGAAAATATCAATGATTAGAATGAAATTCTAATAAGAATACAGAATAAAATTCACTTAAGTGAGAAAACGAATCTAGATTGAAAGTGTTAACTAGACTGAAGATACATTTGTTGATTAGATTTGTATTTATACTTAATCCATTCAATTGAATATTTTTTATCCGTTGGTAAATCTTGTTAATTGATAACAGACAATTAAGTCAGAGATCAAAGATGAGTTAACTTAAGTTTTTAACATAATCATTGTTGACTAATTGTTGTTAAAACAAAATTTTACTGTGGGAAAAATGGTAATGTAATCAGAGTTAACAAAAGTTAAAGAAGATAAGAAGAAAGAGAAAATATTTGTAGAAAGAGAAAAGTAAGTAAAGAAAGAGAAAAGCAAATTGACGCCAATGATTAAAACCAGAAGGTTATTTTCATAAGAATTGACAAGACTATTGTCTCTCCATCATTAACTGTTAATTTGTTTTTCTAAAGAAAATGATTAGTTAAGTTTAATTGTTAATTAAAGTTGTAATGTTTGTTAATTGTAATTAGTTAATTGTTGATTAAATGAAAATGATTAATTAACTAAAGTTAAATTTAAATGAATAAAATTAATAAGTGAAGTGAAGGGTTAAATCTCTACCCTACACTAATGCAGCTACTTCCATTTCGTTGGCCTTTCTTGTTGTTGGTCTTGCCTTGGGAATCGCTACCACCTCAATCTATCATATGATCCACAATAGACATAAATACAGGGTGACTACTGTACACCAAGAGCAAGATCTTGATTCTTGATTCTATCCTCTTTCAAAAGCAAATTACGTTTTTTACCTCAAATTAAAACCTAAACTACTTCAATCAAATCATAACGAATCGAAATTTAGACAATAAAATACAATTAATGAATTGATTCATTAGATAAAATCCAACTAATTATTGTGTTAAAGCCAACACAATAAGGTTTTAAATGATTTTTTCAATGTGAATTAGAAAATGAAGAAATGAAGAGTAATAGATGCTCTTTGATGGATAATATTCTAAGGACTGTTCGAATATGTTTGTGTGAATGAGAACACTAGATTGTTCGCTTTAATTTTTAGTTCGTTTGATGAAACTCAGCAATTGTCAAATATGATATTTTGCATTTATTATTAATTATTAACGGTTTTCTTAAAACATAGACAAGAAAAGTTTCATTTATAAAGCCAAGGCGGACGCTGATACACCTACAGACATGACTGGGGTTTTAATACTCATGATTTCAGAATCTGATTGACCTTTTGGATTTGAGTTTTGCTTGGAAACTGAATTGGCGTTTGCCATAGAAGTTGCAGAAGAAGAGCTCGAAGATGGATTAGGTCCAGTTGGTATTGGTTTACCTTTACCTTGTTTTGGTGATCCTGATGGAGATGATCCTGAACCTGTGGCATATCCTTTTCCGTTATTGTTTGTGGTGGACTTTGAAGATGAAAATGATTTAGTTACACTATTTGAGGGTCCTTTTGAATTTCCACCAGAGCCAGAATTAGAGCTAGAACCAGAAGCACTTGATCCTGAAGTGGAAGTTGAAGTTGATCCTGAACTAGAACCTGAACCCGATCCAGTGCTTGATTTAGGACCTTTACCTGATTTTGATGCATTATTGTTAGATGATGAAGCAGAAGAGCCAGTGGAAGATTGAGCGGACGAACTTGTATTTCCTTGATTGTTAGTATCTGAACCACTGGTTGATCCTGAAGTGGAAGTTGAACTTGAACCGGAACCAGATCCTGTGGAGGATTTAGGAGCTTTACCTGATTTTGATTTATCACTGGTAGATGATGAAGCAGCAGCAGAACCAGTGGAAGATTGAGCGGCCGAACTTGCATTTCCTTGATTGTTAGAATCTGAGTCACTAGTTGATCCTGAAGTTGAAGTTGATCCTGATCTAGAACCGGAACCCGATCCATTGTTGGATTTAGGAGCTTTACCTGATTTCGATTTATCACTGGTAGATGATGAAGCAGCAGCAGAACTATCGGAAGATTTAGCGGGTAAACTTTTTTTATCGTTAGAGCCTGAATCACTGGATGATCCTGAACTTGAGCTTGAACTTGACTCAGAACCGTTTCTATCGCCAGAATCAGTATTAGCCATAGAGTTAGTCATTGATGTTGCGCTACTAGTACTACTTTTAACTGTTTTCATCATATCCTCAATGGTTGAACCAATCATACTAGTAGGAATCATTCCTAATCCATTATTATCTTCTGTTTCAGTATTGCTCTTACTACTTGATTTCGAGCTAGAACCAGAAACAGAGTTAGAAGAAGAACCAGAATCATCATTATCATTATTAGTACCAGAATTTGAAGCAGAACTAGAACCAGAACTAGATTCAGAAGCAGAGGCAGAACTAGATTCAGTGTCTGAACTTTCTGAACTAGATCCTGAATCAGTCATTGATTTCAAACCATTTTTAACTGTCTTCATCATTTTACCAATAGTTGAACCAATCATTGGAATGACTCCTGATCCATTATTATCTTCTGTCTTTGTCTCACTACCTGATGCTGAGCTAGAATCAGAAATAGACCCAGCCGAAGAACGAGAGTTAGAATCAGAAGCGGAGCTCGAACTAGAACTAGAGCTAGATTGAGTGTCTTCTAATCCATTATTTCCTGTTTTGGTCTTACTAGAATCAGACTCAGAACCAGAATCGGAAGCTGAGCTAGAGCTAGAGCTAGAGCTAGAGCTAGAGCTAGTGCCAGAACCAGAACCAGAACCGGAACCAGTAGTGTCTGAACTAGATCGAGAAACAGACTCAGCTTTAGAATCCGCTGAACTTGTTGCAAATGACATATCCATATCGGGCATAGAAGGCATTTGAGGAACACCTAAACCCATTCGAACCATTGTCATTCGATTAATCATATCTGTAGAATCAGATTTAGACATAGATTTAGATTCAGAACCAGATTCAGAACCAGAACCAGAGGCAGAACCAGAACCAGAGGCAGAACCAGATTCAGAACCAGATTCAGAACCAGATTCAGACTTAGATTGAGATTCAGAACTAGAATCAGAACCAGAGGTAGAAGTAGTACCAGAATCTGCTGCAGAGTTTGATTTAGAAGTAGCGTCTGAGTCAGATTGAGAGTCGGCTTTAGAATCCGCTGAGGTCGTTTGAGATGACATATCCATATCGAGCATAGAAGGCATTTGAGGAACACCTAAACCCATTCGAACCATTGTCATTCGATTATCCATATCTGTAGAATCAGATTTAGACATAGATTTAGATTGTGAACCAGATTCAGAACCAGATTCAGAACCAGATTCAGAACCAGATTCAGAACCAGATTCAGAACCAGATTCAGACTTAGATTGAGATTCAGAACTAGAATCAGAACCAGAGGTAGAAGTAGTACCAGAATCTGCTGCAGAGTTTGATTTAGAAGTAGCGTCTGAGTCAGATTGAGAGTCGGCTTTAGAATCCGCTGAGGTCGTTTGAGATGACATATCCATATCGAGCATAGAAGACATTTGAGGAAAATCTAAATTCATTTTTACCATTGACATTGGACTATTCATATCTGTACTTTCAGATTTAGAATAAGAGTTAGACATAGATTTAGACCCAGATTCAGAATTAGAATCAGAACTGGACATTATGATAGACATCATGGGATTGTTCAAATCCATCATACTTGGATTAGTACCAGTTGAACCAGGTCCTTGTTTACCATCTTCAGAGGAAGCTTCTGACATCAAGTAGCACTTGTTTCTGTTTTGAGAATAACCACCAGCATTGGAAGTAGGCTGTTACCTGGTTGTGAATCGTTATTGGCATTTGATGATGTTAGTGTTTCTGTTGAACCAGAAGAACCATTAGCATCACTAGTACTCGAACTACTGCAGCTCAAGCCGCTGCAGCATCTGAATGTGAGGCGTAGGAATAGTTGAATAGTAATAAAAGTAAAACACTTAAGTTGATTAGTCTTAAAGTCATTTTGTTAATCGTAACTTTTCAATTTCAATGTAATTGAATAGATGAGATGAGATAGTTGACTGATAATTTCTCTTAAATTCTATCGCTTTTTATACCTAAAGAATTCTAGGTGTCGAACTTAATTACAATACTTAATTGTAAATAATATTCTAAATTTAAAGTCTCAATTGCAGCTAAAGAAATATAATTAACCTTTCAATAGCATTTGTGTGTCTGTTTCAATAAGATAGTTCTGATCAATGTCTATTTTGAAGATCATTCGTACACTTTCACATTTGAAAAAGTTTCTCAATACAACTGATTGAAATACAGGGCATAATAACTAAATATCCGGACTCATGACGATTTCTAGAATATTTCTATTAACCTTTCAATAGGATTTTTTTCGACTTTGAGAGACCGCTGAAGATCTGAAGAATTTGAATCTTTTGAAGATCATTCGTACACTTTCACATTTGAAAGGTTAATTATCTAAATTATCGAAGCTATTGATCTAGATAAGCTCTGATAAATATGCTAGTTAGGAACTTTTTCATAAGCCATTGATAACTAGCGGTCTCTCAAAGTCGAAAAAAATCCTATTGAAAGGTTAATAGAAATATTCTAGAAATCGTCATGAGTCCGGATATTTAGTTATTATGCCCTGTATTTCAATCAGTTGTATTGAGAAACTTTTTCAAATGTGAAAGTGTACGAATGATCTTCAAAATAGACATTGATCAGAACTATCTTATTGAAACAGACACACAAATGCTATTGAAAGGTTAATTATATTTCTTTAGCTGCAATTGAGACTTTAAATTTAGAATATTATTTACAATTAAGTATTGTAATTAAGTTCGACACCTAGAATTCTTTAGGTATAAAAAGCGATAGAATTTAAGAGAAATTATCAGTCAACTATCTCATCTCATCTATTCAATTACATTGAAATTGAAAAGTTACGATTAACAAAATGACTTTAAGACTAATCAACTTAAGTGTTTTACTTTTATTACTATTCAACTATTCCTACGCCTCACATTCAGATGCTGCAGCGGCTTCTGGAGCTGCTGCTAGTAGTTCGAGTACTAGTGATGCTAATGGTTCTTCTGGTTCAACAGAAACACTAACATCATCAAATGCCAATAACGATTCACAACCAGGTAACAGCCCAAGTACTTCCAATGCTGGTGGTTATTCTCAAAAAACAGAAACAAGTGCTACTTCGATGTCAGAAGCTTCCTCTGAAGATGGTAAACAAGGACCTGGTTCAACTGGTACTAATCCAAGTATGATGGATTTGAACAATCCCATGATGTCTATCATAATGTCCAGTTCTGATTCTAATTCTGAATCTGGGTCTAAATCTATGTCTAACTCTTATTCTAAATCTGAAAGTACAGATATGAATAGTCCAATGTCAATGGTAAAAATGAATTTAGATTTTCCTCAAATGTCTTCTATGCTCGATATGGATATGTCATCTCAAACGACCTCAGCGGATTCTAAAGCCGACTCTCAATCTGACTCAGACGCTACTTCTAAATCAAACTCTGCAGCAGATTCTGGTACTACTTCTACCTCTGGTTCTGATTCTAGTTCTGAATCTCAATCTAAGTCTGAATCTGGTTCTGAATCTGGTTCTGAATCTGGTTCTGCCTCTGGTTCTGGTTCTGAATCTGGTTCTGAATCTGGTTCTGAATCTGGTTCTGAATCTGGTTCTGAATCTGGTTCTGAATCTGGTTCTGAATCTGGTTCACAATCTAAATCTATGTCTAAATCTGATTCTACAGATATGGATAATCGAATGACAATGGTTCGAATGGGTTTAGGTGTTCCTCAAATGCCTTCTATGCTCGATATGGATATGTCATCTCAAACGACCTCAGCGGATTCTAAAGCCGACTCTCAATCTGACTCAGACGCTACTTCTAAATCAAACTCTGCAGCAGATTCTGGTACTACTTCTACCTCTGGTTCTGATTCTAGTTCTGAATCGCAATCTCAAACTAAGTCTGCCTCTGGTTCTGATTCTAGTTCTGAATCTCAATCTAAGTCTGAATCTGGTTCTGCCTCTGGTTCTGGTTCTGAATCTGGTTCTGAATCTGGTTCTGAATCTGGTTCTAAATCTGTTCTGAATCTGGTTCTAAATCTGGTTCTGAATCTGGTTCTGAATCTAAATCTATGTCTAAATCTGATTCTACAGATATGATTAATCGAATGACAATGGTTCGAATGGGTTTAGGTGTTCCTCAAATGCCTTCTATGCCCGATATGGATATGTCATTTGCAACAAGTTCAGCGGATTCTAAAGCTGAGTCTGTTTCTCGATCTAGTTCAGACACTACTGGTTCCGGTTCTGGTTCTGGTTCTGGCACTAGCTCTAGCTCTAGCTCTAGCTCTAGCTCTAGCTCAGCTTCCGATTCTGGTTCTGAGTCTGATTCTAGTAAGACCAAAACAGGAAATAATGGATTAGAAGACACTCAATCTAGCTCTAGTTCTAGTTCGAGCTCCGCTCTGATTCTAACTCGTTCTTCGGCTGGGTCTATTTCTGATTCTAGCTCAGCATCAGGTAGTGAGACAAAGACAGAAGATAATAATGGATCAGGAGTCATTCCAATGATTGGTTCAACTATTGGTAAAATGATGAAGACAGTTAAAAATGGTTTGAAATCAATGACTGATTCAGGATCTAGTTCAGAAAGTTCAGACACTGAATCTAGTTCTGCCTCTGCTTCTGAATCTAGTTCTGGTTCTAGTTCTGCTTCAAATTCTGGTACTAATAATGATAATGATGATTCTGGTTCTTCTAACTCTGTTTCTGGTTCTAGCTCGAAATCAAGTAGTAAGAGCAATACTGAAACAGAAGATAATAATGGATTAGGAATGATTCCTACTAGTATGATTGGTTCAACCATTGAGGATATGATGAAAACAGTTAAAAGTAGTACTAGTAGCGCAACATCAATGACTAACTCTATGGCTAATACTGATTCTGGCGATAGAAACGGTTCTGAGTCAAGTTCAAGCTCAAGTTCAGGATCATCCAGTGATTCAGGCTCTAACGATAAAAAAAGTTTACCCGCTAAATCTTCCGATAGTTCTGCTGCTGCTTCATCATCTACCAGTGATAAATCGAAATCAGGTAAAGCTCCTAAATCCAACAATGGATCGGGTTCCGGTTCTAGATCAGGATCAACTTCAACTTCAGGATCAACTAGTGACTCAGATTCTAACAATCAAGGAAATGCAAGTTCGGCCGCTCAATCTTCCACTGGTTCTGCTGCTTCATCATCTACCAGTGATAAATCAAAATCAGGTAAATCCTAAATCCTCCACAGGATCTGGTTCCGGTTCAAGTTCAACTTCCACTTCAGGATCAACCAGTGGTTCAGATACTAACAATCAAGGAAATACAAGTTCGTCCGCTCAATCTTCCACTGGCTCTTCTGCTTCATCATCTAACAATAATGCATCAAAATCAGGTAAAGGTCCTAAATCAAGCACTGGATCGGGTTCAGGTTCTAGTTCAGGATCAACTTCAACTTCCACTTCAGGATCAAGTGCTTCTGGTTCTAGCTCTAATTCTGGCTCTGGTGGAAATTCAAAAGGACCCTCAAATAGTGTAACTAAATCATTTTCATCTTCAAAGTCCACCACAAACAATAACGGAAAAGGATATGCCACAGGTTCAGGATCATCTCCATCAGGATCACCAAAACAAGGTAAAGGTAAACCAATACCAACTGGACCTAATCCATCTTCGAGCTCTTCTTCTGCAACTTCTATGGCAAACGCCAATTCAGTTTCCAAGCAAAACTCAAATCCAAAAGGTCAATCAGATTCTGAAATCATGAGTATTAAAACCCCAGTCATGTCTGTAGGTGTATCAGCGTCCGCCTTGGCTTTATAAATGAAACTTTTCTTGTCTATGTTTTAAGAAAACCGTTAATAATTAATAATAAATGCAAAATATCATATTTGACAATTGCTGAGTTTCATCAAACGAACTAAAAATTAAAGCGAACAATCTAGTGTTCTCATTCACAAACATATTCGAACAGTCCTTAGAATATTATCCATCAAAGAGCATCTATTACTCTTCATTTCTTCATTTCTAATTCACATTGAAAAATCATTTAAAACCTTATTGTGTTGGCTTTAACACAATAATTAGTTGGATTTTATCTAATGAATCAATTCATTAATTGTATTTTATTGTCTAAATTTCGATTCGTTATGATTTGATTGAAGTAGTTTAGGTTTTAATTTGAGGTAAAAAACGTAATTTGCTTTTGAAAGAGGATAGAATCAAGAATCAAGATCTTGCTCTTGGTGTACAGTAGTCACCCTGTATTTATGTCTATTGTGGATCATATGATAGATTGAGGTGGTAGCGATTCCCAAGGCAAGACCAACAACAAGAAAGGCCAACGAAATGGAAGTAGCTGCATTAGCCATATCATCATTCGGTGCAAATGCTTCATGATTGGACTCACGTTGTTGAAGTTTCTTTAGTAGTTGAAAATTGTAACAATTTTGCGAGGGGGAAGTTGCAACATTTGGGTTTCCAACCATGTATTGGGTCAACTGACAAGTAGTTTCAAGTCGACCTTTAGGACAAAAGTTGAAAGATTTACAGCTTTCTTCCCGCCTCCAGTTATAACAAAGAGCTGCACATTGCTCCATGTTCAATTTACTCTCACCAGAATGAATTCCGAAACCAGGGTAGTACCAGTGCTACAAACTCTTGTGATTTTTTGCTGTAATAAAAAAGTTGTGATTATCAATAAAATTTACATAACTTTTAGAACACTTTAACTTACGAGTATAAACATTGCAAAAAATGTCATGTCGCACCTTTTTAACTGGGTATGAAGTCTTTGTAAAAGTACATTGATTATTATTGGAACAATATTGAAATGAGAAACATTTAGGGGATTGTGAACATTGAGCGGCACAATCGTCAACTGTCCATGAATAAACACTATCATCATCTGAGATATCGTAAAATTGTTGGTTTGGATTTTTCTGATATTCGAGTAGGAAATTTCTTGAATAGGTTGAACAGTTGTTTGCATACACGGTAGCATTTGGTATAAATAGAGCACTGGAAATGAGACATTCATGAGAATTTCCATTGGAGCAATAAGAAAATGCAACACAGTCAAAATTATTTGGAGTGACACAAGTACGATAACAGTCACCGATACTATGAATAGCCCACTTACTGGGTGAACAGATTTGTCTGTTGAGATGAGTTTTGATGATTTTGAATTTCCATGAAACTTGATTGTTTATGAGAAATCGAAAAAGTATAGTCAAGAACATTGGTTATTCGATATCGATGAGATTTACTTGCAGTTGTACAGTTATCACATTTCAAGGAGATCGGCATGTTATCAAGTCGAAGTGAAGATTTATCAGCAAGTTCAATTTCTTTTGTTAACCGATACTGATTCATTAGAGGAAAATAGTAAAGTTTACAATCAATATTCGAATCAACAGTTTCCTCCAAACTGTTCGGATCTTCAATGTTCAAACAAAGTCCATTCAATGAGGGACAGTAAAGGATCTCTCTGGTAATGGAAGAAGTAAAATAAATTTCAGTTGTCACATTTCAATTGAGTCGCAATTCACTTACTTGAAATAATTTTCTTTCAATTGGGTTTTCAAACATTCATCGATATTTTTAGCAATAATACCCCCAGAGGTCAACTTTGGATTGTCCACTTTGACTTTAGCATCTCGTATCTGAAAAGATTCTGAAAATGGAAACTATTAATTCTTATACTCTCAATGTATAATATATGAAATCAGCCCAAAGTTTCTTGCGTTCATCTTACTCTCAAGAGGTGGCCTTTCGAAAAATTCAACTCTAGCTGAGATCCTATCGATATGGAAATCAAGATAGATTGATCCTATTCGCAGCGGGGATATTTGTTTAGTAAGAACATTTTTGAAACTTTCCTTGAATTCGTAAAAATGATCCTCAGCAAATTGGGTACCAACACTGCACGTGTAACCATTTTCTAATAATAAAAATCAAAACAATTAATCGTAATGAGAATTCAAATTTATGCCAAAAAATCAAATTTTACCTTCACTTCTGATTTCAAAGTTCAATATTACTCTTTGCTCTCGGACGAAACAATCAGATATACTAAATAAGTTCTGATATTGGGCTTTTGTTATCGCTCGTTGGAACTCAGAGATATCTCGTCTCCGCGATTCTGCAACAAAATATTTACCCTAATTGTGGATAATTAGTTAGTGTTATTAAAGAATAAAAAAATTTTTAATATTACCATATTATCCTTTTTGTAAGCAGTTCGAACCATAGCCACAGGAACATAATCAATGGAAGTTGATTCGTAATCATTTGGATTGCTCTGTATAAAAAGATAAATTGTTAGACCATTTGATAAACTAATCAATGTTTCTTCAAACTAGAAGGTGTTTCCATTAATCTGATTGTTTTCTATTCTGATCATATAAACATTAGAGAGAAACAATAATCGCACCAATATTGCCATGTACTGAGTTGTCACAACTTTGTCATATTTAGTGCCCTCAATTTTTCGTCCGTACTCAACTGATTCCCATGTATCAAATATACCACGAGCTCTTGGTTCCTAAAAGTGAAATAGAAGCAAAAACAAAGGGAATTGTCATACCTATTCAAAGGTTGGATGAATTCACTTACATAAATGGTTTTACCAACGTATTTAAATTGCCCATTCATCCAAGTTAGTTCATTGATGTCCAACTGACCACCAATAAGTCCAGGCATATAACTATCGAATGACTTTATTTGACACTTGGAGAGTTTAAAATAGTATGAAACCGCTAGATTAAAATCGCTGATTGTATAATCATCGTCAACACCAATTCGAGTCAATTTTTTATCACCGTCTATATAAACCTAATAAAAAAATAGAGAAATTTCATTGTGATAAGATAATGATGACCTTAATCAGAAAATCATTTACCTCTACATTCAAAATGGTTTTACTACTATTTAGATCTGACGTTAGCGTCTCGGTGAATGTAAAATGAAGTTGACGAGTTGTAAGCTTGGGAAATTCTCGTTCTAATTGGAAATAATCTGGGCATCCAATTCCTGTGATCGGTTGTACTTTGACATCAAGATTCTCATCTATTTGGGTTATACTGAGAATATTAAGAACCAATGATTCGCTAATTCTGTATATAAAACTCGTATTGGGCATATTATAGTAGCCATCAAAGTCTATACGAAATGCATTTTCAATCTCTTTATTAACACCACCTAATATGAAATAAAAGAAGAAGACGAAATGAAACAAATTGATGAAAAATTGTACCACTGATATCGAACTTACTTTTAAAGTAAACTTTTATATTGAGCGATTCATCTAAAATAGTGGTCATTGTACTAATCGAGGTACCATCCATATTTTCATCGATTGTGTTCTGTAAAATAGGTGGATACATTTTTGCATTAAAAAAACAAAAGTCGTGATTAGTGATGGTCAGTGAATGTACAATAGCCTTTTAAAGTTTAATTTCTCTTATTAGTTTACCCATTTTAGTGATTTATCAGAAAGCCGGTAAATGAATGAAGGGCCAGTCAGAAGTATTAAACTTAGTAACGATTGTCGGATACCAGGAATGGAAGTTGACCATAGGTCCTGGTCTTTTGACATTTGGTAACATTCATAGTCTTTTTGTTGAGAAAATAAGCTTGGTTTATATTCTAAAATGATTTGATTCGCTAATCAACTTACCGGAAATAATCAAACGTTTATCATCAACTGAATGATCATAGAAAACATAAAATGATTGTGATTCCCCAGTAACATGAATTTTACCATGAGACTTTGAAGTTCCTGCCATATGTTCAGATATTGACCATTTTCTATTCAGTCCCTCCTAGAATTTAGAAAAAAAATTGTTCAGATTACTTCGCTTTGAACAATTGATTTATATTTTAAACAATTAGATAGCATATTGTATGTTTAATGGGGCATAAACACTTTGATTTAAGAGATTTTATAAAAAGATTTTTAAGCCTTGAAGCTGATCTATTGTAGATTTCTTATAATAAGCAATAAAAGTGAGAATAAAAGTGAAATTAATTGCAAGTTTTTCCAATGTCAATTGATAAGCATCTTGACTATCACATTAAGACAATTTGAAATCTCAAGATGTCAACTTTTTGAAAACATCTAAATAGATTATGATCATGATATTATCCAAGAAACGGGTACTTACTTTATCTGTAAGTGTTGCCTCTATGTGAATATTGGCTTTTGGTGTTTTCATAGGCCGAGAAAAAAGATACCCTATTGAAAAATCAATGAGAAAACAAATTTAATTAAAAAAGATTAATTAGTCCATCGTATCAACAGCTACGAGTTTGGACGAAACGATCCATATACAATTTATACAACTACGGATTTATATTTTTTAAGACATTTCTTCAGCTTGGTTCTCTTTTCAAAGCATTGGCTCATTCATTAACAAAGATTCTATTGATTAGTACAAAGAACTTACCACAATTTGCTATTGGTATGAATTTGATTAACACTATTAATGTGAAAAGGTTAAATTTGACTGAAAACATGATGGAACAGTTAATTTATCGGTTTACAGTTACAATTTCAACAATTGATGAAATGATGATTGATATATAAAAAGCGAAATTATGTTAATTTTCTCTGTCAAAATCATCAAACTTGAAACGAGCAGTAATTAGCCGAGTGTTGGTGACTTATTTTAACTATTACATTACAATTTTAAAAAACAACAATCAAAGGCTTCAAAGAATTAAGAAAAACTTTGAAAATTTATTTACTTATTTAAGAAAAAACAGCAAAAAGAAAGTGTATAATTGTAAATAGTAAATAAAGATTTAGGAAAAATGAAAGAAATACAATTGCCAACGATGACAATCTCGAGGAGGATTGAGAGGAGTGATACAATGATGCCTATTATGATCGCTCTTGATTAGATACATTCAATAGCTGTCGAGTGCACTCAATTACCATTGAATCAGATAAAATGAAACTCAAATGAAGTATAAAGAAACAACAACAATCATAAACAATTATTTAAAAACCCAGTCAACATTTTTGATTCAACATTGAGTCAAAAACAATGTCTCAATTGCATATTGAGTCAATTTTGAGTCAACGAAAAATTGAGTAAAAATTGAGTAAAAAAGTGTTCAAAAGTAGTCATTTTTTACTCAATTGTGTTCAACAGAAAATCAAAATTTAGTCAATTTTGAGTACATGTAGAGTAATTGATGAGTAAAAATTGATTCTAATTTTATTCAATTTTGAGTCAAAGTGCTTTAAATGACAAATTTGACTGAATTGATCGGAGAATTGAGTTCGTTCCGCTGATAAGCGGAAAAAACAATTGTCGTCTACATTAATTGAATCATTATTTGCAAGTTCCAAAGTTGAAAATAGACATATTTCATATTGGCTATTTTCAAAATGGGTTTGAAATTCATAGAAAATACTTTTTTCGCCGACTTGCTCGCGATAGTATTTCCATTTTCTGAACTGATTCAACCAAAAATTTTCTACTCAATCAAATTGAAACTTTTCTACGGTCAGAATAACGATGATAGGAAATTTATCTCATAGAAAGTTTTGCTTTATTCGAAATAATTCAATAAATGTTTTTCAAAAAAGAGTAATAATAATATAATGTCAAGTTCTTTTTATAGATTCGAATATTTTGCTTTTGAATATTTCTCCATCATTAGATTCTGTTTGATTCGAATCAAGGTGTTGGTTTGAGTCAGAATCATCAGAATCATTTCCTATGGAGAATTTAACCTTTTTCTTTGTCTTGGACGAATTCAATGAAGATAGGACTCGAATGATTCGCTGTCTAACTTTATTCAAACTCTCTTCTGTGTAGCTCATTTGTCCACTTTTACGGAAAATGTGATCTAGAAGATAAAAAACGAAAAAGATGATTTGATTAATTTCGAGCGGTGAATTTTTGTCGATTAAACCTACCAAATAATGCATCCAGTCTGGACTGTCCTAATTCTGGATCAAAATCACCTTCAAAAGGCTTTTCGAACTGATTAGAAAATCCAAAAACGAAGCAAAGAGGAAGTTTATTGCTCTTTAGACCTTTTTCAATGACTTGCTTGAACTCATTCAATTCTTCATGAGTATATAACCTCTTGCCTAGTGTAGCGTTTTCATAATAAGATTTTGGAAAGGCCAATCTCGTCAACTGATATGCAAGGCAACAAGGATCTGATCTTGAAAGTTTGATTGCCGTTTCGTACAGATTAAGAGAGTTGCAATTTTCTATGAAAATAAAATTCTAATGAGAAAGAATGAGAATTAATTCATTGAATACAATTATTGAATTTAGTCAACTCACCTTTTAGTATTCTTATACGTTGAATCTGTCGTCAGAATATGATGTAAATTTTGATTCATCGTTTGATATTTCTCATTAAGATAAAAACAATATCCTGAAGTAAATCAATCACCGAGCGTAATATAATTCCACTACTGTCAATGTTGGATAAAATTTCTTTTCTTTTCTCCAAATCTCTGATTTTCTCGAGAATGTTGTTCAAAACGATTCTTTTCGGCTCGTGTTTCTTTCTTGCTTATTGTTTATTCCTCTGATGAACTAGTCAATTCTTGTTGAATCGTTGTTGAAACTTTTCACGCTTTGTTTTGTCAGGAAATTCATTTCACGAGGGCAATTTCGTCCTTCACTTGGGTTTTATCAGAGTCTTTGGTCTCATTAAGAACAGTTGATGGATTTTTTTCTCCACCATGAGATTCTATTCCTAGTAATTTATTCAACTCGTCACTTTCGATTGACACATAATCTGGGAAATCGTTTTCATATACAGCAGGATCGATATTTATTTCCAGTATTTCGCTTGTGTAATTGATAACTTTTTTCAAGTTTCTCCATTCTGCATTATACTTCACATTCTGTTTAAGTTTTTGTAAATGAAATAGATTCTGAAAAGAAAACAAATACATGATTACTTTGAGTCTCTTTCTGATGAATATTTTCAATGAAATTACAACTCACCTGCTAGAGCTATGAACTTGAACGAAATACGCATGTAATTTAGTTTTGTGATGAATTGATTCCCTGCTGATTGCACAATTGATTCGTGATTTGTTATTCCACAATTTTCGACATCTTTTTTATCCACGATTATCAAAATCGGTTGATTTAAATTTTTCCTTTTATGATCGGTGAAATTAGGCAGAATAACAGCATATAATCCGTTTGGGTCCTTTCGAATTGTGTCACAAGTTGGCTGTGAATGATTTATTTTTGCTTCTTACTGATCAAAGTCGGAGATGAAGGAGCAGGAGGAGATTGAGATCGACTGGTTGACTTGGCCTGGGTAGATTGAGCGCCAGAACTTTTTTTAACAATCTTGCGTTGCAACTGTTTTAACACATTTTGACCAGAGGTTTTATAAAAGGAATCAACATTTGGAAATGAACTTGACTTAGTAGACTTTTGCCTTGACTGTGACATTATATGGGAAAATAAATACAAAATTGAATTTGAAAAATTGAACTGAATTGTAAGGAAGGGTAAATACAAGTGTTCACAATTACAAGAGACTCCATTGAGTTTATATCGTCAAATAAACCCAAAGATGAAGAATCTAACCAGTTAAGATTGCATCACAAATGTATAATTGGATAATTTTTCCTGTTTTGAATTGAATCTGATTTGATAATCAATTTAATTTGAGTCTCGAGAGACATCAAATTTTTGATCAAAATAGGGAAAAGAAATAAAAGGGAGATGAAAACAAAGGTAGAAAAAAATAGAAAAATAGAAAAAAATCACATTTGAAAATTGGAGAAATTGAAAAAATTAACCCAAAGAATCAATTTCTCAAAAAAAATGTTGATTATGGCATTTTGTTAATTGACTTTTTTGTCCTTTTAGCCTTTGCAGCTACTTTCTGCATCACTAAGGCAAAGTCTCATCTTCAGAAGATTCATCATCTCTTTACACTTTTTCCAGAGCTTGATTCTTGAAGATTAGAATTGCTTTCAACTTCCTTGTTTTGATTGGCACGAGAAGGTCCAGAAACAGCAGTGTTTTTTGTCACCCTCTTGTTGTAATCCACCTTTGTCGTCATTTTGTTGCTCTCTCTCATCAATTTCTTCCTCTTCCTCTTCTTCTTCCTCTTCTTCTCCATCTTCTTCTCCATCTTCTTCTCCATCTTCTTCTCCATCTTCTTCTCCACCTTCTTCTCCACCTTCTTCTCCATCTTCTTCTCCATCTTCTTCTTCTTCTTCCTCTTCTCCATCCGCAACCTTTCTATCATCTTGAACTTTGTCTTCCTCCTCATCTTGAGGTTCTTCTGAATCTGCTTCGACGAAAACCTTTAGATCTCTAATAGGTTGAACATTTCCCATCAATGGTGATGTTGCGGACACATAAAGTTTCTCTGAATTGGCACCAGGAGAAATGGAACTTTGTTGAGTATCTTCATTTTGTTGTATCGGCGTTCCAATCATGGGTGAAAAGAGAGAAATAATGGAATCTTGATCGCTAGATTTTGCTTTTGTGCTAGGAGATTCTTTCGGAACTTTCTGTGTTTCGGGAATAATAGCTTGAGTTAATGGAATCTCGATTCGTTTCTTTTTCCATAGCGGTCCAGTTGAAACTGGACTTTTAGCTCTTTTTTGACGATCGGGTAACGGGTGAGCTTGTTGATTGGCCATCAACACTACTAAACGAATCAATAAATCCTGAAGATTCAGAATGAAGATCTTTATCCTTGCGAGTTTTGTCAACAGTATTAGTTTTTTGAATTGATTCTTGTTCATTAAGTGAACTATCTGAATCGACCAACGATATCATTTCACTGACTCGATTTTTGGTACCTTTGACCTTTTTGATTGAATATTCCACTACTTGAACCAACATCTGAGTCTTCCAGAGTCAACACCAGCGTGCGTAGTTTTGATTTTATTCGAGGATGAATCATAAGGCTCCTTATTTTTCTTTTCATACCTGTGGTCACTAGATGAATGTTTTTTTCCATCTTTTATAACCTGTGGACGTTTGGTGCGCTGGTAGTGCATTGCTTTCGAAAACGCTGAAACCATTAATTTTTCTGTGGTCTTATCAGGATTTTTACCAGCCATTCTAACGCAGTGATCTAGATAAGCAGGATAAGCATAATTAGTTTTCAAATATCTCTTGATTAAGATTAATAGCTTGTTACTCACCTAGTAAAGCTCTGAACCTAAGCTCTCCCAATTCATTATCGACATGATTCTGCAGGGAATAAGAGAGGAGAAAGGTGATTCCAAGTGTTGATTAGCGAATGACGGCCTTTTGTGCCCTGCAATGTTGTTCCCTGTATCCAATGATCAGGAAATGAATATCTAATGAGCAAACTCATAATAGCTGGGCCAAAATCAGGTTCATCTCTCTTTATTTCGCTGTTTCATAGCAATATTGTAGCCCCGAGAAAGTACAGGCAGAATACCTTCTATAAGAATAGTATTTGAGTCCTGCTTGCATGTTTCATCTTCTTCCGGAATGAATCTTATACTGTCCACTTCATTCGAAAACGATTGATAAAATTCCACACACTGGAAAGTTTCGTTCATTTTCACCAAGTATTCGAGAATGGATAAAGTTTCTTGAAAGAATTCAATTTTCGAACTCACAGATGATGAATCAGCTACGATTGCTCGAAGCTTCTCTAAGCTTTCATACATCCTACCTTTCTCATTAATTTTTTCTTCCGAATTCATATCTGGTTCCAACAAAGAATCCTCTTTCAATGAATCTTTATGTTCGATTTCATTTTCATAATCCGATGATGAATCATCAGATTCGGAGGAAGCATCTTCAAGCTCAATCACTGAACTGTTTAAGGCTGGAAATTGCTCATTGACTGTTGATTGGCTGGATTTTGCTTTCTCTCTTCTTTCAATCTTTTTAATTCTTTCGATGAATTGGTTGAAATCTTCTTTAGTAAGCATTAAGTCTTTGACCATTGTTCTTACAACCTTAATGTTCTCTATCTTGAACCAATGATTGATCTTTTTTCAGTGGAGGTGCTGATCGAGAAGATGATAATCTAGTGAGTAGACACCGAAATTTTTATACCTCTCGATTAAATCTTTAGAATCATCTACAAGAAAATCAGAATTAATCAGAATTAGAGAATTTTCTTTTCGAGAATTGAGTTGAACTTACCTCCGACTGAGACTAACATAGCATTTAAAGGATTACATCCATCGACGGTTATTGTGATCAAATTTCGAGTATGAACACGATCCTCTCGAATTCTGATGGAATAGATTCTTTTTGATTTTGTATCCGAATGGAATTTCACATCACCATTAGAGTCTTCGACTCTAACTACAGAGACAACTAATTTTTGACCTTCCATCAGCTTACAAAGAACACCTAATAGTGATCGCTGACCCGTTACCAATCTTGTCTTTTTTGAACGATTAAAAATATTATTTTTCAACACTTTGTGACTTTTATACATAAACAAGTCCAATAAAAAAACGAATTTATAAAAATCACTAATTAATACTAATTAAGGTTGAAAAAACAAAAACAACTAAAACGTGATGAGAGTAAAATGATTAAGAGAAACACGTTTATGCGAAAAAACCGCTTATCAGTTATTGTTACTAGGCAACAGGTTGGAAAAGAACTTTAATTATTCTAAATTCTATTTAGAATTTATGCTTTTTATGCTTTTTATGCTTTTAAAAGAATAAAGAGAATAAAGAGAATAGAATAAATTTATTCTATTCTAAATTATGCTTTTTATTTATCTCTTGAGAAGATAAATAAAACTGTTGGTTACTTTGTTTCCATTTCCTCTTTTGATTTGTGTGTTTATCTAAAATCATTATCTTAAATATTTGTTTCAATTAACACAAATTTGTTTGTTAAAATGTCTATTCAAGCTTCGCAAGCAAATAAACATAAAAGGAAACGTGTTCATCGTTTACTTTGTGAAAATTATGTGTTTGGTTTACCAAATGTTAGTGATTCATCTGATTATGAAGACTCATCATTTCAGCCAAATGAGGATAGTACTTCTATTAGTGACATTTCCTTGCTTTCGGTTTCACCAAAAGATTCAACGTGTGATGAATCTTCAGTTAAAACTGATTCATGTTCTTCTGATTTGAATTTCGATTGCTCAGCAGTTGAGCCGAAAAAATCAGAATATGTTGAAGCTATTTTATCATCGATACTCGTATGTCGAGGTGTTTGTTTGGCTTCATGTGAAAAAATTGTTAGTTTATTCAATATGTATTTGAATAGATTCTTTCCTGGTGAAAATCAATTACCCAACATTAGATACTTTTGGGACAAGCGAGCCAAGACAAATTCCATTGGAGTATATACAATCTGTGAATATAATCATTTCCATGGACCGTTTTTTGGTGAGCCCAAAAATTTTGGATCAATGGTTTGTGGCGAACAAAATTTACCTGTTTCACTTGAGCCTAATAAATACTTTCTGCACATTTTGCTCAGAAAACAGTTGGAGAATCAATTACCCTCTCTACCTCTTTCCTGTTTAGATGAATCTATTCATGGAGAAACGGAAATTTGCAACTCAGAGGAAGCGAAAAGAATCAAGGCTCTTGGAAAAGACTCATCGGTAAAAAGATTGACATTTACTCTTCATGCAGATGAAGTGGCTGTTGGTAACAGTTCAACTGCAGCTATTTTTCCAATCTTCATAACAATCAATGAGATGAACAATTTAATCCGCCGTGAAAATTTTTTCCTAACTGGACTTTTTGTTGGCACTAAAAAACCGGCAGTAGATCTATTTCTTACTCCTATTGTAGAAGAGTTGAATTCATTGGCAGATTCACCTATAACTTGGAAAGATTCTAATCAAGAAGATGTTTCAGCAACATTTCACCTGGTTGCTGTTATAGCTGATGCACCGATGCGTGCTTACTTGAGAAATGTAAGACAGTTCAACCATAAACATGGCTGTGATTGGTGTCGAAGCAACAAGTCACAGGAAAGCTCGACTTTACAAAATCTACCAATTGAACAGATTCAAGCTCTATCAAGAACTAAAGAAGATTTTATTCTTTACGAAAAACATCTTTCTGGAAATAATGATAATGGCGAAACTGATAAATTCGTTGGTATGATTGGTCTTTCACCTCTACTCAAAGTGAATCAATTCGACATCGTCAGAGGATTTGCAGTTGAGCCGATGCATTGCATCGTTCTTGGTATTTTTCGCTCACTCATTTTGCGTGGATGGTTGAAAAGTGAAGTGAAACAAGTCATGGCAACTGGAATTGATCGAAACCTTTTCAAGCGTGAATTTGGTTCTCGATTACAATCAGTTCGAGTTCCAACTGAATTTCCACGACCAACAAGAAATTTCGATTATCTCAAGTTTTGGAAGTCATCTGAATACGACAGTCTTTTGTGTTATTATTTTTTTTCTTGTGCTAAAGGATTAATTGCTCCTCGTGCCTTCCATAACATTTGCTGTCTTATTAGAATATTTTCCATTATCAACTTTCAAGTTGTTGATCTTCAAATGAGAACCGAACTCACCAATCTGATCAGTGAATTCCAAAAGGGTGTTGAAATTTTATATGACAAGAATCAACTCACATACAATTTACACATATTATCTCATCTCCCTGAGTCAGTAGCTGCATTGGGACAGTTTGCATCACTTTCTGCTTACCCGCTAGAAAACAAAATGGGAATTCTAAAGGAGAAAGTTAGAAGAACGTCTAATGTTGCTCAGAATCTTGTTCGAGTTTTCCTAAATGATTGTAAACACAAAGAAATGATGGAATCTAAAGTTAAAACTTGGTGTTTGTCTGCTAAAGAACATCGAGTTTTTAAAACTAATCATCACAAAAGTGAAATAATAACAACTATAGCTGAAGATTCAACTCAAGACATTGATGAAAGTCGACAAGTTATTCGAGATTTGCTGCTGTTACGAAGATTTGATTTCTATGATAGTTTTGAACATATTCAATTCCATAAAAGTATGTGTGTCAAGTCAGTGAGATATTCGACTCAAAATTACTCTCTCCAGAAAACAAGAGATGATTCTGTTCTCAAACTCAAAGATGGAAATTTTTTCAGAATAATAAGAATCTGTTCAATCAATGGTAATTATTTCTTCTATGGAAAATTGTTCGAAAGTCGAGTGGTTAATATAAAATTCAAAGGTTACACCAACACCTTCAACTTCACACTGGATCACATACATGAGATAATCGAAAAGGATCCTGAGCGATTGGAAATAATTACACTTGAGATGGTCAAGACGAAAGGAATCTTCATCAATAGTCGAATCTTCAACTACAAATATCCAAACAATCTACTAATAGAACAATTTCTACAAAACAAGTGAGAAAGTCGTCTAATGAGCTATCAACATGTGAAAAATAATTCGATTGGAACAGCTGATTCAAAAACCGCGGTAACATTTGAATAGCTTTTTTTCTGTTACTGAGAAAATTCGATTCTTGTTCCGTTCTTTTTTTCTTAATATTCTACGGATTTAATTGTTTCCAAAATTTATAAATTGTGTTAATTGGGTTAATTGTGATAAGTGTAATCATCAATATTTGGAAATAAATCAAGTATTCATTCAATCAATTGATTTGAAATAATCTTTGTGATTTTGTTAACATGAAATTTTCATGTAGCTCAAAGCTTTTTCATCTCTCTCAGTTTCTTTTCCTTTTTTCACTCTTTCTTTCATTAATTTTCTTTATTTTGAATGTTTTCTTTAGATTCATTGAATTTATTCTCGATTAGACAATTAAAAAGAAAAGAATCAAATCAAAAATGGAGAAAAATGAATTTAATTGTGAAGGAAGCTTCCAATATGAGGCCATTCAACAGGTTCCTGATCAACAACAAGCTATTTTCCGCCATTTTTATTCATGTAGCTTGATAATGATTCAATTATAAAATCAATTTCTACATCGACAATGTCGATCAAAGATTAACATCAAAACAATCATTCAAGCTGAGGAAAAGAATCAAATGGAATTGCCAAATCAACAAGAATCTTCTCAATTTTATCAGTGTTGTGATGAAAGAATGGAAATCGATGAAAATTTAAGTGATTCGTGTGAAAAGATGGAAATTGATCAACAAAATGAATCGTATGAACCCATGGAAATTTTAATGACAAAGATTCTAAAAGACGAAAACGCCAAATTAACCTTCCAGTACAAAATCAGTACAATGTTTTTTCATCAATTTTCAATCAAATTTTTCTACAATTTTTTACTCACCTTCAAATCTCTGAAATTTTTCAATAATCAGAATCATTTATTTTCTACTCAATTGTTTATATCTCACTCACTGAATCTTGATCTCAAACCCAATTGTTATTCCTGTCAAATTTTATATCTATGTTGAAATCTATTTTCTATTGCATTTTCTGTTTAATTGTTACCAAAAGTCTTGACAAAATTCATCAAATCAAAATTAAAAGACGTTGATTCTTACGATAGATTCTTGTCACCAATTTTCTTAATTTGGTCAATTGACCAAATTTCAATCGATTTAAAAAGAGTCACAATGAATGAGTTTGTGATTTGGTGTCAATTTCATCTGAATTCATACTCTTTTTTATTCAGATTCGGGATTGAGAATCGTATCTTTCAGAATCTAATTAGATCAATTTGTAATCAATTTTTACTTTATTTTGACGTTATTTTGACCCAATTTTGACTCTATTTAAACACAATTTTACTCAATTTTACTCAACATTTTCTTTACAAAACAAAATTTTGAGTCAAAATTGAGTAAAAAAAATCAAAACTAATCAACAAATTTTGATGAATCAAAATTGAGTAAAAAAGTTCAAAGTTGATCATCAATTTTTCTTCTGTTGACTGGGAAGTATTAGTTTGAAGATAATTAACTAAGAGACACTAGATGGCGACTATCAGGAAGAATTGTGATAAGTGTGATTTTGGTTTGAAATTTTTTCAAATAATAATATTTGGTCAATTCGTATTTTAAAATAATTTAAAGCAACTTTTATTGTTAACCAGTGTCTACTTATCCTTTCGGTATAAGTAAAGTGGTGAAAATATGATAATATTTTAGTAAAATTTGAAAAGGATGAATCCAACGTGGGATGATTACAAATACAGAACGTAAGAACGATGAGAAATATAAAATTGGGAAACTGATTATTAAAATACTAGTTTAATTATGGTTTGGTGGGCTGATTATCATATCACAGTTTAGTGAAACACCTCAGGAACCACTTGCAATGATTGGCTACAATTGCTGTCCACAATAGGAACCACACCTCCCATTTACCTGTGTGAAAACCCAAAATGTATTTGATTTTGACAAATTATCGTTTTGATAATAACTAAAATCAACTCAACGAATTTTCGATTGCGATTTTCACTCTCGGAAACGATAAATCATAATTCATCGAAGCCTTTACTGAATTTGCTGTAAAAACTTGAAATAAAAAATGCCACTCTATAAACAATTGCACTGATCTTTGAAAAAAAGATGAACGTTTAAGTTGAAGTCGTTTTATTCATGTTGATTGGTTTAATTGTTGGTTTTGTTGGTCCTTATTCAGTGATGAAAATCAAAACATCGACAATATTTAGACATCCATCTAACGATTTCACATGGTCAAGACAAGACGATAATAATGAGGAAGATCAAGATGCAATTCAAATCTGATCTAATCCAACAATTAATTTTGACTTTTATTATGTTCCTATTAATAGCACAATTAAAGATTGTAACATGAATTTAATCTTGTTTCACCAATACAAATATCGATAACTTTCTAACCTAATCTTAGAAAATAATATTTTCGCCATTAAAACAATAGATTGATCATTTTAGAAAATCAAATGACTTGAGAATATTTATTCAGATGCCTTTGAATATATTGGAAGGTTATTCGCTTGTTAATCACATTTCAACTGATTCCGTTTCCTTTTCAAATGTGAAAGTGTACGAATAATCCTCAAAATATTTATTCAGAAACCTTTGGAATACATTGAAAAGGCACTTTTCATTTAACCACGTTTCCAACTGAAACTGATTAATCAAACCAATTAACTGGAATATACAGGGCGTAACAACAAATATCATCATATCGTATACCAATCATACCACTTTTCCGACTTTGAGAGGCCACTGTTCATCAATGGCCTATGGAAAAGTTCAGACCAGAACACAACAAAATTTGACACTTTCGCTGTTGGTCGCGAAAATAAAATCTGACCTGATAAATATTCTAGAAATGGTAAATCGTCATGAGTCCGGACATTTAGTTGTTATGCCTGTATTTCAATCAGTTGTATTGATAAACTTTTCAAATGTGAAAGTGTACGAATGATCTTCAAAACATTGATCAGAACTATCTTATTGAAACAGACACACAAATGCTATTGAAAAGTTAATTATATTTCTTTAGCTGCAATTGAGACTTTAAATTTAGAATATTATTTACAATTAAGTATTGTAATTAAGTTCGACACCTAGACTTTTTTAGGTATAAAAAGCGATAGATTTTAAGAGAAATTATCAGTCAACTATCTCATCTCATCTATTCAATTACATTGAAATTGAAAAGTTACGATTAACAAAATGGCTTTAAGACTAATCAACTTAAGTGTTTTACTTTTTCAACTATTCCTACGCCTCACATTCAGAAGCTGCAGCGGCTTCTGGAGCTGCTGCTAGTAGTTCGGGTACTAGTGATGCTAATGGTTCTTCTGGTTCAACAGCAACATCAAGTACCAAAGATTCTCAATCAGGTAACGATGGTGCTACTGCGATGTCACAAGCTGCAGCAGGAGCTTCAGCGACCGATAATGGTTCGGGTACTGGTGGTTCTAATGGTTCTTCGAGTTCAGCAGCAACATCAAATGCCAATGGTTCTCAAACAGGTAACTACCCAAGTACTGCTAATGCTGATGGTTCTTCTAAAACAGAAACAACTGGATCCAATTCAAACGCATTAGCTTCCTCTGGAGCTGATTCAACTGGCACAACTTATCCAGATATCTCACAACCCACATCAAATATGTTGGCTTTAGAAATACCTGATCTATCGTATGGTATTGGTGGTGTTGGTGCTGGTGTTGGTTTAGGTTTTTTCCCTTATTCAGATGACTCCAATATGCCTGATGAATCGCCAGACATTAGTTCAATTACAACTTCTCAATCCGAGTCTGAAGCTTATTCTGGTTCTGATTCTGACGAGTCAGATATGAAGAATACAATTATGTCAGTTCAAATGGGCCCAGGTGCTCCTCAAAATGCTCCTTCTCTGCCTGGTATGGATATGGATATGTCAATTATAACTAATTCAGCGAATAGTAATGCTAAGTCCGTTTCTCATTCTGGATCTGGTTCTGGTTCTGAAGCTAGTTCTGCTTCTGAAGCTGATTCTGGTGCTGTCAATGATTCTGAATCAGGTTCTGGCTCTAGTTCTAGCGCTGCTTCCAATTCTATCTCTAAATCTAAGTCTAAGTCTAAATCTGGTTCTGGTTCCGGTGCTGGTTCTGGTGCAAGTTCCGGTGCTGGTGCTGCTTCTGATTCTAGTTCAGGTGCTGTCAATGAATCTGAATCAGGTTCTGGCTCTAGTTCTAGCGCTGCTTCCAATTCTATCTCTAAATCTAAGTCTAAGTCTAAATCTGATTCTGGTTCAGGCGCTGCTTCTAGTGCAAGTTCCGGTGCTGGTGCTGATTCTGATTCTGGTTCAGGCGCTGCTTCTGGTGCAAGTTCCGGTGCTGGTGCTGATTCTGATTCTGGTTCAGGCGCTGCTTCTGGTGCAAGTTCCGGTGCTGGTGCTGATTCTGATTCTGGTTCAGGCGCTGCTTCTGGCGCTGGTTCGACCGCTGGTTCTAGTTCTCGTTCTAGCTCGAAATCAAAGGGCAAGAGCACTTCTGAAACAGGAGATAATAGTGGATTAGGAATGATTCCTACTAGTATGATTGGTTCAACCATTGGCGATATGATGAAAACAGTCAAAAGTAGTTCTAGTAGTGCAACATCAATGACTAACTCTATGACTGATACTGATTCTGGTGTTAGGAACGGTCCTGGTTCAAGTTCAAGCTCAAGTTCAAGTTCAGGATCAACCGGTGGTTCACGTTCTAACGGTAAAAAAACTACAGGTTCAACCGCTCAATCTTCCGCTGGTTCTTCTGCTTCATCTACCAGTGATGACTCAAAATCAGGCAAAGCTCCTAAACCAACACTGGATCTGGTTCAGGTTCTAGTTCAAGCTCAACTTCAGGATCAAGTTCAAGCTCAACTTCAGGATCAAGTTCAAGCTCAACTTCAGGATCAACTGATGATTCAGGCTCTAACGGTAAAGGTTCATCCTCAATCTTCCGCTAGCGCTGCTGCTTCATCATCTACCAGTGCTGACTCAAAATCAGGCAAAGCCCTAAATCCAACACTGGATCGGGTTCAGGTTCTAGTTCAGGATCAAGTTCAAGTTCAAGTTCAACTTCAGGAGCAACCAGTGGTTCAGGTAAAGCTACTCAATCCAACACAGGATCTGGTTCGAGTGCTAGTTCTGTCTCTAACTCGGGCTCTAGTGGAAACTCACTGCGACCCTCGAATAGTGTAGCTAAATCATCTTCATCTTCAAAGTCCACCACAGACAATAACGGAAAAGGGTATTCCTCGGGTTCAGGGTCATCAAAACAAGGAAAAGATAAACCAATTGGACCCAATTCCTCTTCGAGCTCTTCTGCAACTTCAATGGCAAACGCCAATTCAGTTTCCAAGCAAAACTCAAATCCAAAAGGTCCATCAGAGTCTGAAATCATGAGTATTAAAACCCCAGTAATGGCTATTGGTGTATCAGCCCCTGCCATGGCTGGCTAAATGAAACTTTTCTTGTTCATGTTTTAAGAAAAACGTTAATAATTCATAATAAATAAAAAATATCAATATTTGACAATTTTCGAGTTTCTTTCGCGAAAAGTATTAATCTAAAGTATCAGTACTTAAAAAAGTATCGACTAAAAAGCTCATCCAGAAAACAAACTTTTCAACGAAAACTTTTTCTGAATTCATAAATCCTACAAAGAGGTATAACAACCCTAACATCGACATCCTTCAAACACAAAATTAACAATTGTATTAGTTAGAATATCAAAAAACCACTCTAACCGTTTTTAAAAGTTCTAAAAAGGTCTGGTTAGGCCACAATTGGCGGTCGAAGTGTTTTTGTTTTTCGATTATATCGCGTAAACTAAACAGAATTTGATCGTGATTTTTTGTACGATTTTAGATCTTATTATGATCCATCGCCTGACAAAAGCTTTTGAATTAAATATTTTGCTATCTTAGGTTATGAACTTGAGTTTCTTTTCTTTCGATAAGCTCTTATCTCGTCAGGTCAACGTTTAGGAATTTATTTACGTAGATCAGATTAAACATCAGAGATTTTTATAGCTGGACTCGAGCTTTTTTCGATAACTACTTTCGTTACCTGTTAAAGCGAGTGATCTGATTCGATAAATACAACTTTGATCACCCAAGTTAGACCATAATGCTTCTAATTATGAGTAGCTTAAGGCATAAACAGTTAGAATCATAACTTTCACCATCACGTGAAAAGTGTATAACAAATAGAAAATTTTTGGTGTCCTCCCAAAAGTTCTATCAGCATAACATGATCTGATGAGCTGAGATAATTGAGAAATTTGTCTGTTTCAAATATAGGTATTTTTTCTGAATCAGCATCACTAACTCGAAAAAAAGTTTCATTGTCGAATTCATTTCTCAATTTATCCAGATTTATAATTTCTTCACAGTTAGCAGGTTAAGGTGGATATCGAGAGGTACGAGCGTGCGATAAAGTTTTTTCAGGCTTCGAAAAGTTTTTAGAGAAGCACCAACAATATCACTTTGATGAGATTATATTATATCATTTGAACTTTTTTGGTAACAACTTTTAAGATTAGGAGAGTTTTTGAGTTTAACTTAATCTTTTCCTTTGTTTCGTTTTTCGATTTGGAAGATTTTATCGAGTTGTAGTCCATGATTATGGTCTGAAGAGCTTTCAATAGTTTCGCGCTCGATGTCCAATATTCGCAACTATTTGTCACTGGATGCTTTCTATATTGAGTTTTATTTCTCTCTGTCTTGTTTCTATTAAATTTGTTCAATCAACAAGTTTGCATTTCTAGTTGATTTGATGAACCGATAATTCATAATCAGTGATAATTGGAAATAAATAACTCACAAAACTAATCAATTATTAACTTTCGAAAACTATTGAAAATTTGGTAAAGATTTCGAATGAATGATAATTCATAAAAAACGAATAAGAAACAAAGAAAATAGACATTCTGGTTTGAACGTTTACACTAACTACACTTGTAAAACTATTGCTGAGCTGTCATTCAGATCGAGGTAAACTTAACCGCAAAAAACATCTCTGATGTTTAATCTGATCTACGTAAATAAATTCCTAAACGTTGACCTGACGAGATAAGAGCTTATCGAAAGAAAAGAAACTCAAGTTCATAACCTAAGATAGCAAAATATTTAATTCAAAAGCTTTTGTCAGGCGATGGATCATAATAAGATCTAAAATCGTACAAAAAATCACGATCAAATTCTGTTTAGTTTACGCGATATAATCGAAAAACAAAAACACTTCGACCGCCAATTGTGGCCTAACCAGACCTTTTTAGAACTTTTAAAAACGGTTAGAGTGGTTTTTTGATATTCTAACTAATACAATTGTTAATTTTGTGTTTGAAGGATGTCGATGTTAGGGTTGTTATACCTCTTTGTAGGATTTATGAATTCAGAAAAAGTTTTCGTTGAAAAGTTTGTTTTCTGGATGAGCTTTTTAGTCGATACTTTTTTAAGTACTGATACTTTAGATTAATACTTTTCGCGAAAGAAACTCGAAAATTGTCAAATATTGATATTTTTTATTTATTATGAATTATTAACGTTTTTCTTAAAACATGAACAAGAAAAGTTTCATTTAGCCAGCCATGGCAGGGGCTGATACACCAATAGCCATTACTGGGGTTTTAATACTCATGATTTCAGACTCTGATGGACCTTTTGGATTTGAGTTTTGCTTGGAAACTGAATTGGCGTTTGCCATTGAAGTTGCAGAAGAGCTCGAAGAGGAATTGGGTCCAATTGGTTTATCTTTTCCTTGTTTTGATGACCCTGAACCCGAGGAATACCCTTTTCCGTTATTGTCTGTGGTGGACTTTGAAGATGAAGATGATTTAGCTACACTATTCGAGGGTCGCAGTGAGTTTCCACTAGAGCCCGAGTTAGAGACAGAACTAGCACTCGAACCAGATCCTGTGTTGGATTGAGTAGCTTTACCTGAACCACTGGTTGCTCCTGAAGTTGAACTTGAACTTGAACTTGATCCTGAACTAGAACCTGAACCCGATCCAGTGTTGGATTTAGGAGCTTTGCCTGATTTTGAGTCAGCACTGGTAGATGATGAAGCAGCAGCGCTAGCGGAAGATTGAGGGGATGAACCTTTTTTACCGTTAGAGCCTGAATCATCAGTTGATCCTGAAGTTGAGCTTGAACTTGATCCTGAAGTTGAGCTTGAACTTGATCCTGAAGTTGAGCTTGAACTAGAACCTGAACCAGATCCAGTGTTGGATTTAGGAGCTTTGCCTGATTTTGAGTCATCACTGGTAGATGAAGCAGAAGAACCAGCGGAAGATTGAGCGGTTGAACCTGTAGTTTTTTTACCGTTAGAACGTGAACCACCGGTTGATCCTGAACTTGAACTTGAGCTTGAACTTGAACCAGGACCGTTCCTAACACCAGAATCAGTATCAGTCATAGAGTTAGTCATTGATGTTGCACTACTAGAACTACTTTTGACTGTTTTCATCATATCGCCAATGGTTGAACCAATCATACTAGTAGGAATCATTCCTAATCCACTATTATCTCCTGTTTCAGAAGTGCTCTTGCCCTTTGATTTCGAGCTAGAACGAGAACTAGAACCAGCGGTCGAACCAGCACCAGAAGCAGCGCCTGAACCATAATCAGAATCAGCACCAGCACCGGAACTTGCACCAGAAGCAGCGCCTGAACCAGAATCAGAATCAGCACCAGCACCGGAACTTGCACCAGAAGCAGCGCCTGAACCAGAATCAGAATCAGCACCAGCACCGGAACTTGCACTAGAAGCAGCGCCTGAACCAGAATCAGATTTAGACTTAGACTTAGATTTAGAGATAGAATTGGAAGCAGCGCTAGAACTAGAGCCAGAACCTGATTCAGATTCATTGACAGCACCTGAACTAGAATCAGAAGCAGCACCAGCACCGGAACTTGCACCAGAACCAGCACCGGAACCAGAACCAGATTTAGACTTAGACTTAGATTTAGAGATAGAATTGGAAGCAGCGCTAGAACTAGAGCCAGAACCTGATTCAGAATCATTGACAGCACCAGAATCAGCTTCAGAAGCAGAACTAGCTTCAGAACCAGAACCAGATCCAGAATGAGAAACGGACTTAGCATTACTATTCGCTGAATTAGTTATAATTGACATATCCATATCCATACCAGGCAGAGAAGGAGCATTTTGAGGAGCACCTGGGCCCATTTGAACTGACATAATTGTATTCTTCATATCTGACTCGTCAGAATCAGAACCAGAATAAGCTTCAGACTCGGATTGAGAAGTTGAAATTGAACTAATGTCTGGCGATTCATCAGGCATATTGGAGTCATCTAAATAAGGAAAAAAACCTAAACCAACACCAGCACCAACACCACCAATACCATACGATAGATCAGGTATTTCTAAAGCCAACATATCTGATGTGGGTTTTGAGATATCTGGATAAGTTGTGCCAGTTGAATCAGCTCCAGAGGAAGCTACTGCGTTTGAATTGGATCCAGTTGTTTCTGTTTTAGAAGAATCATCAGCATTAGCAGTACTTGGGTAGTTACCTGTTTGAGAACCATTGGCATTTGATGTTGCTGCTGAACTCGAAGAACCATTAGAACCACCAGTACCCGAACCATTATCGGTCGCTGAAGCTCCTGCTGCAGCTTGTGACATCGCAGTAGCACCATCGTTACCTGATTGAGAATCTTTGGTACTTGATGTTGCTGTTGAACCAGAAGAACCATTAGCATCACTAGTACCCGAACTACTAGCAGCAGCTCCAGAAGCCGCTGCAGCTTCTGAATGTGAGGCGTAGGAATAGTTGAATAGTAATAAAAGTAAAACACTTAAGTTGATTAGTCTTAAAGCCATTTTGTTAATCGTAACTTTTCAATTTCAATGTAATTGAATAGATGAGATGAGATAGTTGACTGATAATTTCTCTTAAAATCTATCGCTTTTTATACCTAAAAAAGTCTAGGTGTCGAACTTAATTACAATACTTAATTGTAAATAATATTCTAAATTTAAAGTCTCAATTGCAGCTAAAGAAATATAATTAACTTTTCAATAGCATTTGTGTGTCTGTTTCAATAAGATAGTTCTGATCAATGTCTATTTTGAAGATCATTCGTACACTTTCACATTTGAAAAAGTTTATCAATACAACTGATTGAAATACAGGGCATAACAACTAAATGTCCGGACTCATGACGATTTACCATTTCTAGAATATTTATCAGGTCAGATTTTATTTTCGCGACTCAACAGCGAAAGTGTCAAATTTTTGTTGTGTTCTGGTCTGGAACTTTTCCATAGGCCATTGATGAACAGTGGCCTCTCAAAGTCGGAAAAGTGGTATGATTGGTATACGATATGATGATATTTGCTTGTTACGCCCTGTATATTCCAGTTAATTGGTTTGATTAATCAGTTTCAGTTGGAAACGTGGTTAACATGAAAAGTGCCTTTTCAATGTATTCCAAAGGCTTCTGAATAAATATTTTGAGGATTATTCGTACACTTTCACATTTGGAAAAGGAAACGGAATCAGTTGGAAATGTGATTAACAAGCGAATAACCTTCCCAATATATTCCAAAGGCATCTGAATAAATATTCTCAAGTCATTTGATTTTCTAAAATGATCAATCTATTGGTTTTAATGGCCGAAAAATATTATTTTCTAAGATTAGGTTAGAAAGTTATCGATATTTGTATTGGTGAAACAAGATTAAATTCATGTTACAATCTTTAATTGTGCTATTAATAGGAACATAATAAAAGTCAAAATTAATTGTTGGATTAGATCAGATTTGAATTGCATCTTGATCTTCCTCATTATTATCGACTTGTCTTGACCATGTGAAATCGTTAGATGGATGTCTAAAATTGTCGATGTTTTGATTTTCATCACTGAATAAGGACCAACAAAACCAACAATTAAACCAATCAACATGAATAAAACGATTATGCCAAATGCACCAACTCCAGTAGTACGAACATTTGGTTTTTCAGCAATCAAATTATCTTGATTTACTTCTTCTTGATTCTGTTTAGTTTTCATTTGATAATTGTGGCAACTTGTCGATTGATTGGTGACAGTTTTATCATCGAACACGGAGTATTTGGTCAGTTGACAAGAAGCTGGTTCTTTTCCTTTTGGACAATAGTTGAAAGATTTACATTGATCATCATCTTCTTGTTTGTAGTCGAAGCAAAAGGCAGCACATTGATCCATGTCCAGGTCGAGTTCTGTATGTAAGACTTCAGTAACAATCTCCGAGCCAGTTAGTTGATATTTTTTGGACAATTTAGCTGTTAAAAGTAAAGAGTAATTGATTAGTTAGTTGGTTGATTTCGGTTGAGAAATGAAAAACTTACGAGTATAAATGGTACATTTTGAGTCAAACTTGGTATTACTTTCAGAATAATAGCCACCAAAAGTACAAAGACCATCACAGAACTCAAATGAAAGACATTCTGAAGATTTAGCACATTCAGAAGCGCAGTCATCGACCCATAGTTTTTCCGAAACCGAAGTCGGTACCTTGTAAGCCTTATTAATTTGTGGAGTATAATCAGAAAGATAGTTCTTTGAGTAGGTCTTACAATGTTCTCGAGATGTCAAATTATTGGTTATTTGTAATTCACTTAAACTGGACACTATGCAAGAGAAAGAATCTGCATCACAGAACGTAAAAGTTTCGCAGAAAATATCTTCAGATTTTGAACAAGCTCGATAACAGTCACTAAATCGTTTTATGCTTGGAACTTCGACAATGTCCAATCCATTTGGAGTCAGTGTACCACGAGAATCGAACATTTTGTAAAGTTCTCTCTCTTTCTCTTCAGATCGCTTATCAGCAGCCACAACGTCAACTATTTCATAAGTGTATGTTTCTCCTATTGAAATTGATTAAGATAAAATCGATAAGTTTTGGGTAAGTTTATATCCTTTTAATCTACTACCATAGTAGTTAAGATCCCATTCATCATGAATGATCTGAGCCAAGAGATTATTATGGATATCTACCAACGACTTCTCTTGGCCAACTCGCATCAAGTTCTTCAGGGGAAATGTGAAAACTGAACAATAAGTTCCTTTCGATGACGTAGTTGACTCTGGAATATCCGGATTCTCAGTGCTAACACAATAATCTTCATTTTCACAGAAGAGAATGGCCTTAAAAACAACAAAAGAATGAACAATTATAAACCAAATGAAACGATCGATTTGAATTTTCTTACCGTACAGTCGAATAGGATGAAGAAAGTTTCTTGATACATTCTTCTGCACTTTTGGCCGAAATTTCACTATACTTTTTTATCGAACTTATTTTTGTGTATTTATAATCTAATTCGAATGAGTCTGATAATGGTATTTAATTAAGACATTAATCAATAAGACGAGATCCAAATGTAAAATTAACTTGTTTTCTCACCAATTATACTTGGAGCTTCGACAAATGTAACATCAGCTTCAATACGATCCTTGGAAAAAATAAACTCCACATCAACAATTCGTAACGGTGATATTCCGTAAGTGAAATCAATAGACTCTCTCAACTCTTTTCTCATTTCAATAGTCATTATCTCACCTCTTTTGATACAATTTGACTTTTTACCTTTTAAAATAGAAAACGGGAAGTTTATAACTTTCTTGTGATCGAATGACATTACTCACATACCCTTGTCACATGTTATATGAAGAGTAAGTGTAAGGCGTTTATCTGGTTCAGCGAAACAGTCTCCCAATTTGAATGCACTCTCATATTCACTATCAGGTAGATCAATTTCAAAATCGTAAAAATCGCGTTGAATTGATTCAATCAGTTGTAAGTTACCCTGTATTTAGAAATACGGCCCTTGTCATTCAGAAAATAAAAGAAAACCATTACTTTCACTTACCGATGAGTCCTTCCTGTAAGCGTTTCTTGAAGCTCCTACGATCATATCGCTAGTAAAAGTCTTAGCTGTAACCTTTTGAACGATATTACAAAATTGTAAACTGTTTTAAATGTGTGATCAATATTAAAGCAAATTTCTTACCGATGATGATAAGTAAATTGTCGTTACCACTTTGTCATATTTACCACTTTCGATAACACTGTCTTTCTTAACGGATTCCCAAACTTTCACTTTCAAACCAGATCGCTGTTCCTAAGTTGTGAAAGAATTCATTGAAACAATCAGTTTTGATGGTAATACTTTTTTATGAGATTAGTTTTATAAAATTTGCTACTTTGTACATACGAAAATAATCTGTCCAAGATAAACGGGTAGAGAGTCTAACCAGAGGAACGTTGCAATACTAAAATAACCATTAATGGAAATACCAGGAGAGCTCAGATCAGCTGGCGAAACCTTGCATTCTCCAGAGCTTGATAGTGTATATCGAACACCCAAATTATAATCATACAGATAAGTATTTGTGAATCCAAGGCGTGTCTCAGCTAGTCGCAAGATTTTACTGTCTCCATCAGCATGAATCTAAAGTCAAATCATTCTCATAGGTAATTATTGAGATTAGACAATCACCGTTATTCTTACCTCATTTAGTGTTGAATATTTGTTGTTAGTTGTGTCTTTTGCGATAAAATGAACTTTTTGAGATGAGACTCCTGGAACACTAAGATTATCTTGTAGATAAACGGGACAACCAACTCCTCGGGTGTTGGCTGAAATTAAAAGTAAATAATTAATATTCATCGAAACAATGACATTTATTTTCCAATTTACCTGAACCAATTCAGCCAATTCTTGAGAAGTTACTGAGTTCAGATAAACATCTAATATGAGTGATTTTCGGGTATCTTCTTGGTCGGGATTAAGAGCGAGAGCAAGAGGGTTGTATTCATTCAGTTCTATCCTGTTTGGCTCTGTCACATCGCCAAATTGGTCTGTTCAATAATTTAACAGTAAAAATGGATTGATCGATATTCTTACATGTACTTATAATGAATGAAGAAAATACAGCTTATCTCAGTAACTTTCACCGAGTTCTCAACTAATTAGTTGAGAACTCATTTGGTTTCGTCAATCCGATATGATTTAAAATAAACTCACCTTTGTAATAAGCGGTAACTTTAATCTTTTGACTTATTATTGTGCTCGCTTTATGCATCGAAGCTCCTCTAATTATGGTGTCATTTTCCTCTTTCTAAAATGAGAATAGTTATTTTAAATTACAGCATTCGATTCTATCATTCCAATAAACGTACCCATCGAGAATCAGCGATTCGGTAAAAAAACGAAGGACCAATAAGAAGAATCATATTGATCATTGGTTTGGTTACTCCAGGTAACATTTTATCCCAATCAGATTTGTATAAATAAAGATCACAATCATTATCTGAGTGGCGGTTAAACAAAAAGATAAAACTTCACTTTCAATTGATAAAAATCATCAGTTAACAATTTGTAACTGAACAATTGATTGACAATTTGATTTGATCTTAATATTATCTATGGGTCGATATGAAAACAAACAATAAGTTGATAAGTTGATCGAAAGTAAAACTGCTCAAAAGAAACAATCAACTACACGTATTGTTCATTTGTCGACCCAAGTTATTAATACGTGGAATGGGTGTTTTTTTATTTCGTTTGGTATATTAATGGTCGAAGCTAATTCTTTAATAAATGTTGGTCAACATATTGAAGTCTGGATTAGATTAAAGATGAAAATGAAAACTTACTTTGCATAACAAGTCGCTTGTTATTATCATAAGATTTGTACGAGTAGAAAATAGTTGCATGAGTGCCCTTGGGTTTTTCTGACGATGTGACATCAATTTTACCTTCGATTCGAGCTCTTGCTGAGATTTTTTCTTCAATCTGCCAAACTTTTCCGGTTTCCTGAAAATTTTATTAGCAAATGGAAAATATTACCAGTACAATAATCAATTATCTATGCTTCGATGTTTACCTTATCAGTTAATGATGCATGAATAATTCTAGATCCTTGACTTATTTCAGGACGAAAGTCCATAAATGACACTTTACAATAGGAAAGGAAAATACTGTTACTTTTTGAAATAAACTATTTTCACGTGTAAATCCATGAAGTAGACTTGGAAGTTTATATTAATACTTCGATAACTTACTTGAACTTATTAAAGAAAAGTTGACTAGACACAAAATAAAAGGTAAAAGTAACATTTTAAGCTTCGACTATTAAGCTTAATGATTCCTATTAGAAACTTGATCAATATTCTGACACCTTTGTCCATAATCAATCGTATTTATCGAGTGTTAATAAGTTTTCTTATCTTGATTATAACGCCTTAATTAGTGTTACAAAATAATTACGCCCAATTTATCAATATTTATATTCATCACTTGATATGATAATTAAACTTACTAGAACATGATGATAAATAAATAATGAACTTTGATTGATTTCTATGGAACTGATAAAAGAGTTGAATTACACTGTAGCTGAATTATCAATGGAAGACAGAAAAAAGTTTATTCGACTTTTCTACAACTTTTCTCAGTAACTTTCGCCGAGTTATCAAGAAGTTATTTCAACCCGATAGATGAGTTTTTCTCAATTAGTTTTCATTTCCATTAAAAAATTTCTACTGAAAATGCTAAATGTTTGTTTTGTAATCGCCGATTTTTATTCATGTTAATATTTTAGAGAATCGATTTCATTTTTTTTTATTCATTTGAATTTACCGCTTTTCCAAAATTTTCCATAGTTACGATAATTAACCCAAATGGTTTCTAACAACATTGACCAGTGTGTTTAAATTGTTTGGTTTAATTTTTGTTAGTTAATTGTCTTGATTAATCTATTGAATTTTTTTTTCATTTCTCTTAGTTAACTAATTTCTTCTCCTAACATGATGACATCCGAAGGTGACAATATTCCTATTTCAGAGGCAAGCGAATCAAATGAAGATAATCCCAATTTGTTACCACCCAATTCTGGTAATGGAAGTGATTTACCTAATTACCGGTGGACACAAACACTTTCAGAAATTGATTTAAAGGTTCCTTTAGATTTACCTGTAAAATCTAGAGATTGTCTTGTTAAATTTGAAAAGAAACATCTTACAGTTGGATTAAAAGGTAAAAAATTTTCTTTTTCTTCATCTTGGATTGAAATTTGATTGAGTTTTTTTTCTTCCCTTCTCTTAATCTTAGGTCAACCTCCAATAATCGATGGAGATCTTTTTGCTCCAATTAAAATTGAAGAATGTTTTTGGACTTTAGAAGGTAAAACATTGAGTTTATCATTGGAAAAGATTAACAAAATGGAATGGTGGAATAAATTAGTCTCTGGAGATCCTGAGCTCGATACTAAAAAGATAAATCCAGAGCCTTCTAAACTCGGTGATCTTGATGGTGAAACAAGAGCAATGGTTGAGAAAATGATGTTTGACCAAAGGCAAAAGGAATTGGGTCTACCTACATCAGAAGAATCAAAGAAACAGGAGATTCTGGCTAAATTCATGAAAGATCATCCAGAAATGGATTTCAGTAAATGCAAATTCAATTAATCATCTACTCAGTGACAATTTGATAATCAACTTCTCCTTCGTTCCGATGTTTGTTTTTCCTTTTTTTTCTTAATGAATCTTCAGCTTATTGAATTGGTCTTTTCTTGTGATGAATCATATTAATCACTTGGCAATATGTTAATTAACGTTAATTATCCCAAAAAGTGATCACAATTAATGACTCAATAATATGAGTTTACATTGTTTATCAATAAAAGCCAACATAATATTTTACCAATTACCACATGAATGACAAATCACTTTAAGTGTTTCATCAATCTCATCATCTAATTTTCCATAGTAATTTAATTATCCTTTATTCTGATTAATTTAATTCTCTATTTTCAACACACACACACATTTCTCTTTCTTTTTTTCCCTCTTTCTCCTTCTCTTTCTATTTTCTCTTTCTTCCCAAATCACATTGTTTACATGACAATCTCTCAACTGAATGAGGTGAATCATGACCCGAGGGTTTGTTCAAATTAAGATAATTGTTCAATCTCAATGATTCCAAATGGAAAACAACTAACCATTGACCCATTAACCATCTTCCATTAATTATTATTACCTGTTGTCTCGATTAATTATTGGGATCGAAACAATTTAATTCCTAATATATAATTTACAATATGTTCTGCTGTCATTACCAATTGAGAACCTAAATTTTACTCTCTCTCTCTCTCTCTCTTTTGGGTTAATTTAATTGTGACATTACTCAAATCAAATCAAATCAAATCAACAATCATCTTTATCTCCAAACAAAACATTTGTCCACTTGAGCAATTGATACAATCAGTTGGTCAACAATTAATCTCATCACCATCGAGTTGTTTTCCTTTTACCATAACGGTTTCTTTTTGTTTACCTTTTTCATTGTGAGTAAAACTGTTTGACTCTTTTGATGGATCAGAATTTAAATATTTTCCTTTATTGATAATTTCTTTTCCTTTGCTTAATTAGATCTTCAACATTGGAAAATCATCTTATCACCAACACTTTGGTTGCTCATTAGAATTAATCTCATTAGAAAGAAAAATTCATTCCCATTTGGTGGTAATTTTGTATTTTCCATCAATCATCTATTATCATGTGAGTATTTTAATTCTCAATGAAATTATTTCTTGTTCTTTTTTTATTCCACAAAATGTCAAATGACTTCGAGGAATCACAATCTCATTTAGAGAGAATCAGATCTCAGTTCGAGTGAACGTAAAATCTTTAAGCTTAGCTCGTTTAATCTCTGGACTCAAATAGGTCGAACTAAATCTCACTTACTCCGAATGAGATCGCATTTCGAGTGAATACCTAAGGTAAATTGTATTCACTTGGACTGGTCATAAACTTTAAACTGGTTTCGAATATTTTAGCCATAGGATATTCTACATACTAATGTCCATAAAATGTTCACTCGAAATACGTTCTCATTCTGAGCAAGTGAGATTTGGTTCGCTCGTTTTTCGTTGTCCAGATTAACAAAAAACCTAAAGAGATTATCGTTCACACCATTGAGATTGTGATTCACTCGAAGTCATTTGACTGTATGATCTCAATTAGTTGAAGCTTATCTTGTTCTACCTTTCAAACCAAACAATTATTCTTCATTGATTGTAATCAATTCTCTGATTTTCCCACTCTTAATCAACTACACTAGAAATTTATATTGTCCCGTTTAGACTCTTCTAATCAACATGCCAGTGATTTTGATTCTTAAACATAAGTTGTCTTGATCTGTAACATTTTCTCATTTCATTTTACTCTTTCAACCTGATTGTCAATATATTCAATTCTAACTGTTAATTTTTAATCCATTTCTCTTTTTCTCTCTCTTCCAAAAATGCCATCAATCGATGGATCCGATTCACTTTCAAACGGACATCAACTGCTTTCCCATTCTAATGGTCAATCTAATGGTTTAATCGGTTTTCATCCTGTTTTAAGAGCGATGGCGAAAAGTTCAACCAATGGATCAACAAGTAAAGTGGCTTATGAGAATCGTGATGAACTTCACAAAGCTCAAAGGATCGTAGTTAAGGTTGGAAGTGCTGTTCTAACCCGTGAAGATCAGTGTGGCTTTGCTCTTGGAAGATTAGCATCGATTGTTGAACAAGTCTCTGAACTTCGTAACAAGGGTAAAGATGTGATCATTGTGACCAGTGGAGCGGTTGCTTTGGGTAAACAGAAAATCGCCACCGAGCTAAAAATGTCCCAATCAATGAGACAAACAATCCGACAATTAACCAGTGAATCAACTTCTGGTATTCAATCCTCAGCTCCTCAGGTTCGAGCTGCTGCAGCCATTGGACAAAGTAACCTAATGGCTCTTTACGACACCATGTTTGTTCAATATGGAGTTAAAATAGCCCAAGTATTGGCCACAAAGAGCGATTTCCATAATCCAATAAGTCGAATCAATTTGAGTTACACTATCGATGATTTACTTCACCTAAGTATTGTCCCAATCGTCAATACCAATGACGTTATTGTTTCCCCAATGATGCCTGATCATCCAGAGATAATCATCGAACCAGAAACAGGACCAAAAGAGGTAAAAATAACAACAAACATTAAAATTCAAAAAACAGAGTTATTAATATAAATTATTTCTTCTCCACCAGCAAGCAATTATGGTCCATGACAATGATAGTTTAGCCGCTTTACTTTCCGTTGAAATTGGTGCTGATTTACTAATCATTTTATCAGATGTTGATGGTGTTTACACTGCCCCACCAGACCAACAAGGATCTAAATTGATAAACATTTACTCGACCAACAGTGAGAATCCTGTTACTTTTGGCAGTAGTAACAAAGTTGGAACTGGTGGAATGAAGTCTAAAGTGGACGCTGCCTCTTGGGCATTAGATCGAGGAGTGACCACTGTTATTTGCAATGGACACGAGACGAATGCAATTAAAAGAATCGTCGATGGATACAAAATTGGAACCTTTTTCACCAATTATCGAGAAGAGGTTTCATCAGTTGAAATTTTAGCTGCCAAAGGTAAATAAAGAAGTTACCTTTGTCCGATTAAGCAATAATCAACGCGAATTTATTTGATTTCATAGCTCGTATTGGTGGTGCAAAATTGGCATCTTTAAAGCCGGAAGAAAGAGCCGACATCCTGGAAACTATTGCGAATCTTTTGACCGAGAATAAATCGGAAATACTGGCTGCTAATAAAAAGGATTTAAAACAAGCAACAGAATCAGGTAACTATTAATATAATTACTTAGTGTAAAATATTGACCACTAATTGTTTTCTTCATCATTATTAAGGTTTAGCTCCTGTTTTATTATCCAGATTGAAGTTGGATGAAAAAAGCTGAAAAGTTTATCCGATGGATTGAAATCAATAGCAGAGAAATCAAAGTTGATGTTGAATCGAGTGATTAAAGAGACAATTATCGCCGATAATTTGATCTTGAAACAAATAACTGTCCCTATTGGAAATATTTTAATAATTTTCGAGTCACGACCTGATTGTCTTCCACAAATCGCCGGCCTATCAATCGCAACGGGAAATGGAATCATATTGAAAGGAGGAAAAGAAGCCAATCATTCAAACCAATTTCTTTGGCAACTTATCCAAAAGGCACTTTCAAAATATCATGTTGAAGATTCTGTTGCATTGGTAAATATTAACAATCTAAATATTAATTCATATATCAAAGTTCAACTGGTTAATATTAAGAGTTATAAAGAGTATTGATTGTTACATGTGATCGGGTATTTTAGAATGAGGAAGTCCCATCAAAACACTAAGAACGAAAAAAACCCAAAGGAAAGTTTTCTAATTGAATGTGTTGACAATTTAGATAATTTTTATTTACTTTTGATTTTCTGTGGATAAAGAGCAGTTAATTGTGTTACTAATTATAACCAAAATCACTTGAACATTTGTGATACAAATGAAAACACATGAATTTAAGATGTGATCTGATGGGAAAATGTCTCAATTACTTAGTATTCAAAGAAATTCTTATCAGGATTACCATGAAAATAATGAATAAACCCAAGGTAATTTTGACTTTTTTCTGATTAATCTTTAGGTTAATACCCGGGAAGAGATTGGCGAGTTAATTACATTGGAAAGTCACATTGATCTAATTATTCCCCGTGGGTCATATGATCTTGTTCGTAGTATTAAAGAAAAGGCTGGTACTATTCCCGTTCTTGGACATTCTGAAGGAGTTTGTCATGTTTATGTTGATAAAGATGCCGATCTAAAGAAAGCAATTGATATTGGTAAATATCTCATCAAATTGTTAAGATTGAGTATCCGATTGAGTATACGATTATTAATTTTCATTCAAATTCTCTGTTTTATTCTAATAGTTATCGATTCCAAATGTGATTATCCTTCTGCTTGCAATGCAATGGAAACTCTTTTACTTCACAAATCTTTAGTTAATAGCGACTTTTTCCTTAAACTTTGCAATGAATTAAAAGCCAAAGGGGTGACAGTTCATTCTGGACCTAAACTTGTTTCTATCTTGACCTTTGCTCCACCTTTAACTGATTCATTGAAAAAAGAGTATGGAACCTTAGATTGTACCATTGAACTGGTCGACGATGTGGAAGAAGCAATTACGCATATCAATACTTTCGGAAGTGGTCACACCGATGTTATTATCTCAGAAAATGGTAAATTTCGTCAGGAAACTCGGTGTTGCGATTATTGTGAATATCAGTTCTGACCTTTAACTTTCTATTTTTTTTCCTTTTCAGATGAAACAACCTCTTTATTCACTTCGAGAGTCGACAGTGCCTGTTGTTTTCACAACTGTAGTTCTCGATTTGCTGATGGCTATCGATTTGGTCTTGGTGAGTTCTCATCTTAATTTCTTTTCAAGGATTTAATAGTTTACTAATCATTTACACATTTTCCATCAATAGGTGCTGAAGTCGGAATCAGTACAGGCAAAATTCATGCCCGAGGACCTGTTGGGATGGAAGGTCTCTTATCAACAAAATGGATTCTCACTGGAAGTGGGCAAACAGTTCAAAACTTCACGGAAGGAGTTTATCAATATAAACACATCGAGGTTCAACCAAAAAACAACTAAATCAATTCGAAAGTTTCGAGAAGTTGATAGAAAATGAGAAAAAATTCAATTCATTTGTACTCAATGTTCAAAGTGCCTAATCGATTTGTATTTTTTTTATTGATTATCTAAAATTTGACTGCAATAGATCAAATTTAATTAATCTCCCTTACCAACTTTTCCGTTCAATAAACAATTAAATTGTTACAACTTATCTTATTGAATCTTCATCAGGATGTTTACTTTCTCGACCCAATTCTAGATTTGAATTGAACCTATTCAGTTGATCATCATCTCACCATCAAAATTCATCCCTGATCTTTTTGTATTCTCATTAAATCGTCATTTTTTCGTTAAGTAGTCATATTAACCGTCTTGATTGTGCATCAGAGGACTGAACTTGTTAATATGGCTACAATTAATGAACTTATCGCAAGCTTTGATAGCCATTTGATGGGAATTATAATTTAATTCTAATAATATGTCAAAGGGTAACAATGTTAATATTTAATATAATATTTTCTCTGATAATTTTACAAGTTATAGTCTCGAATTTATTTAATATGTACAATCAAAAATGTATAACCAATTTATTTTTCGATGGGAATGACCATCTATGGATAGAACTGATCTCAATACTTATATGACAATAATCAGGTTCCTCTTTTCTATCCAAAATCGTATATTGAACTGAGTTAAAACCATCACGAGTTGCCCGACGTTTCGCCATCCTGAGTAACGCAGTTCTAAAAAGAAATTAATGAAAAATAAAACAATCAGCTGAGTAATTATGAAAAAAATCGCGCAAACTACTCGACTAAATTAATGATTAAAATAAAATTTTCTCAATGCTAAATTCAAAGCTCTGATCTGTTACCTGACAATATCAGGGGATTCCGCTCGATGGCTATGTTTTATCATTGTGTATCGTCCCACCGATTCGGGAGGTCGAGTTATATTCAGATTATGAAATTTTAATCTAAAACATTGAAGAGAATGAGATCAAATTAAAATCAAATTCAAATGACATATTTAAATAAGTATGAGTCTATTAAAGCAATTGACCAATAATTTGATTGACAAGAGCAACGAACAAACTTTTAAAGTTTTATTAATAAAAAAAACTATTGAATTTCACAATTTATGCAAATAATAGTTGAACGATTTCCCAATAATTTTGTAATAAAAATGTAATAATTTAATTTCAACTGTTTGGGTCAACTATCAATCAAAATGAATGTCAATTGGTAAGGACAATTTACTTTTATAGCCTTTTGGTTGGTTTTTATTACACTGGTCATTTTACTGGTCATCATTATCAAGATAATGTTTGCAAGTTGGTTAAATCTATTCTGTCTCATTTCATTTAATAGATGAAATAATCGTAGAAAAAGTTTATAAAGAAACAATCAGGATAATCATCATGCTTATAAAATAGATGACCAGCTGATTGAGTTTCCATTGTTAAAAAATAATAATAAAGTCTAACTGGACAGTTTAAATTGATTTATAATCATCATTATCATGATAACAGTCATTATATTGATTCTGATGGTCTAGTTTTAAAAGTAAACTATTTTATTTTTCAAGATGATTATCATCATAAACATGATAATGATCAAATCATCAAGAAAGGACATTTTTTCCAAGGTGTAAAACGCATTATATTATATGAAAAGTTCATTATTTTCAGGATTTATCACCATGTGTATTGACAAGACTGAGTTTCTAGTTTCTTATGACAACAAACTAAAATCAGAGTGAAATATGATCACCTAAGTGACAGAATTGATTGAATCGATTGCGATGATGATGATGATGATGCTTATATTCATTATCGTGTTCATGGTAAATTGTCATAATAAAGTTTCAATCTCAGGTAAGTAAGCAAATAAAATTTCACCATTTGAAAGTTAAACTTGATTGAATTTTTTTTCCTTTGGAAGTTACTTGAATTCAATCTCATATTTCAATTCAAGTTGAAAGTTTCTCATGTCTCCACATAGATAACTTGATTTACCTTGATGATAATGATGATAAGCAAGATGAGAAACCTTTTTAAACAGTCAAATGGATGTTTAATGATCCAAAACCGGAACAAGTTCTAAGATTTTCACCATAATGATGTGGATCATCATGAAGATGATGCACTCATATTGATAATGGAAGATTAAAAGTCAGAGAAAAAAAATATATCTGAAAACTTTTTCTCTAAAGTTCATTTATCGACAGAATGTAAGATCAAATTCAGCTTAAGGTACACGAGAAAAGGAAAACGATCTAACAAAATAAGGATCGATCACTTTAAATGAGTAAAAGTGCTAATAGCACATTAGCCAAAACTTGAAATTTCCAAATATTTTCGATGCTAATTTCTATAACACCAATCAGTCTGTTCATAAGGAGAATCGATAGCATTTTCATGCACGAGAAAGAGAGATTCAGGGGAACTAGGAAGTGGATCAAGATGAACAGAGGAAAAGCAAATGAACAACTGATGATGATGAAGAAAAATATGAAATTTTGTAAAGTACTTTGGACTCACTTAACTTATTGAAGAGGCTTATTATCATTTATTTTTCTTCCATCTCCATGTTCGAGAAAAAAACATCCCTACGAATATAAAAGAGGAATCGATTTTTTTTCTTCTCTTTATTCTGTATTTCGTTTTCATCCTCATCTTTTAACTTTTACCTTCTCTTTCTCCATCATCATTTTCTCTCCTTATCATAATCTCTCTCTCGTTCTTTTTCATGCATTTTTCTCTTCGTGCTAGACTTTTCTTCCCTTCGATTTCGAGATAATTTGTGTTTTTCCTTTTCTAATGATATTCGATTAGAACTTTTTTTTTCTTTTTACCATTTTTCTAAAGACATTAAACACAATTGGTTCATTTATAATTATTCCAATTTTTTATCCATTCATTTTTTTCAACGAATAAAAATTAATCAGAATAACACCAATTAATTGATGTAATTGAATTAAAAGAAATTTGAAACGATATAGTTTTCATGTTTTCATCATTACTATTATGTGAAATGGTTGAACTTTAATTGTAATTAATTTACTCTGTTAGTAGTTAGGAGTGATTACAGTTTCATAATTAAATCGATTCTGAGATGAATTTATTATCATGATAGTCTCATCATTCATGATAAATAACTGAAGTTGCTGAAACTTTAACGAAGATAATTTTGCCTTATCCTGTATAAAGTGATTGTATTGATACTAAACAATCAGCTAATCATTTAGTTAAACAGTTTGAACCATTTGCGAGCGTGTTTTTGATCACTCTCAATCAATTCAATCTTGATCACTGTGACAAACAATTAGTTATTATCATTATGAATTGTCATCAGAATCAATAGAAATTGATTAATTGTAATCTCGAAAGGGTCAAAACTGGTCAAATGCTTAAGGTGTAATAATGAGAGTTATTTTGTTAAAAGGGAGGTGAAAATATGTCAGGTCAAGATGATGAAAATGATTCATTGAAACTGAATTTTATGATAAAATCAATAATGAGTTTTGTTATAATATTGTAATGATCCAAAATTGAAAAGGTTATCGAGAAAATTATCTAATGTTGATTTAGGTGTTCACTTAATTAGTTAGTCCAAAGTCGTTTTTAATTAAGAAATTGCTACGAGAAAAACAAACAAAGATCAAGGTGATAATGAAGGAAAAGTCAAGGTACCAGAATTGTAGACAGAGAAATAGAAAGAGAAAATTTTGATATAAAATAAGGTTGAATAACCAGTATAGTTAGTCTGGTTGTGGTCCCGATCTTAGTTGAAATTGGTTTGTGTGTGAGTATCCTCATCAAAGTGAAACGAAAAATTGTAATTTGTTTAATATCGAAATTGAGAAGAAATTAAAGTTTGTGTTAAGTGAAAATAAATCAATTTCAAATTTCATCATCAACCTCAACTTTTACATTTGGAGGTCCCACCGAGAGCTCAAGCCAGTGGTCAACTTTATCACCCTTGAGATCAAAACAACTTGGATATATTTATTCAGTCAATTTCCCCTTTCTCTTTGTGTCTTTGTGTTTCTTTACTTTATGACCTCAAGTCCTGACCTTGAAACACTAACTTATTTCACCATGGCCGAAAGAAAACCCTTATCCTTGGCCCCACCTCGTGGTCCAAAAATACCATCGTTTAGTGGTGCTTTCAGCAATGAAGCACTTAAATTCATCACCAAGTTCACCTCGTTGGCCCAAGTGTATGGCTGGAACGATAAGGAACGGCTCGATAGGGTAAGTCTGTATCTCGAAGACACTGCTGCTTCTTGGTTTCAACAAGACATTAGTCCACATCTAAGTGACCCTAATTATACTTGGGATGAATTTATATCTGATTTCAAATCGACCTTCTTACCCTCCGAGTATGAATCATATATTAATCAACAATTATCGAGTAGAAAACAACGTTCAGATGAACCGGTCACTAAATTTATAATCGATGTCAAAGAATTATGCAGTAAATTAAATAAGAATGAGAAAGAAACAATGCGTTATCTCTTCGAAGGTGTTAGGGCCGATATTAAGACCGTTTTATATGGACTAAATCCAACTACGATAAAAGAATTTACCGATCATGCAAAAAATTTGGAGCGAAATTCTAATAATACCACAAATCCTGAGGTCGCTGAATTGAAACAGATGATCATGGAGTTAAAAAATGGACTAACCATGAGAACTACCCGAGTTAACCAGATAGAACCAGATTCATCCAGAAACGGTAAGCCTATAATCTGTTACTATTGTAACAAAGTAGGCCATATTCAGGCCAACTGTTATTTCCGTATCCGTGACCAAGGCGCAAGCGCCAATCAACAAAGGCCTTTGTTCACCTCTAATCATCAACCAAATCGACCATTCCCAACTCACCCTCAACCCAGTTACCCTCATCCAAGATACCAACCACCCAATTACCCACCGTATTCGCCCTTTTCCCAATTACCCTATTCTCATAATCAAACCCAAGCCCAAAGTTCCACCAACAATCACTCATTTCATAACTACCCATATCAAAACCAAACCTCGTCTAATCAGTTACCCCCAGTGAACCGCCCGCAACAATATCCTCTGAATCATCATCATCGAGACCATCAAGTGAACCAACCAGTGACCCATCGACCGAACCCAGTGAACGTTCAGCAACCTTATAGTGCTGGTCACCCTCCACCGCCTCCCAGGGCAAACTGTTTAAGTGATTATGATGAAAATTACATTTTCATTCAGTGCTCAGTGAATAATAGAAAATTAAGAGGCCTCATCGACACGGGATCAACCGTTTCCATCATCAAACAAGCATGGGCTGATCCGAATCAAATCCAATATTATGGCGGCCCCGCAGTTAAATCGGCAAGTGGTCATTGTTTGAACATCATCGGTCGCACCAGGTTATTAATAACCGCCGGATCTCTAACCGTAGGAGTTTGGACCAACCTTCTGGTTGTTGACGATTCTTTCGCTTATGATCTTCTTCTTGGAAACAATTTCAACCGAGCAGCGAGACTCCAGTTAGACCTTGGAACCATGGAGTTAGTCCACCAGTCCACCAATGATGATAAGTACCCTGGAAAAGTTTTCATTACGAATTTAGATAAAAATAACCTTTGTTATAGTCCCACCGTAGATTTAGAGAATGGGTTAGTCCCATTAAATTTTGATGTAATTGATGAAAATAACCACGACACAGACCATTGCTTGATAGTTGAAACCGTAAATGATGTCGAAATGTTGCATGAGTGGAATTACTTTGACTTTTCACTTGAATCATCTCATGAAGTTTTCAATTTAGACTTAGAGGTTAGTCCAAGTCCTGTTAGTCCGAATAATTTCATTCCGAAAATAGTTAGTCCAATCGAAGTTAGTCCAATTCAAGTTGTCTCATTTAATTCTGATCTTAGTTCTGAGTTTTATTGTGGGAACCCCGAACAATCAAACTTAGTCGTCGATAAACAACTAGA